ACCGAAGGGGGGGGGGGGGTTATTGCCTAGACTGATTAATGAGATTAGGGAGAAGAGCTGTCCTTTGTTGGCGCTGCTGTTGCTGCCCGCACTTGGGTTCTTTACTCTTGGGATTACTGTAAATGCGAGTTTTGGGGTTGTTAGTGTAAATTTTGGGGGTGGAACGTCTCTGAAGTGTTTGAAAAGGGAGGGGCGTTTTACTTTTGAGCCATTTTTTCTGGTGTCAAAGGTGGTTTGTTAGGTTTTTGTATGTTTGAGTTTATCCAATTAAATATTTACCCACTTTAACTAGCAACTTCATAAGTGCCCTGAATTAGAGCGAAGAGCGTCTATGTCAAATTCGTGTCCTTTACCGTAACTCTGCCAGTTTTGGAAGTAGTTCGGCGCCAAATTTGAACCAATATTTCGCCCATACCGTATCCGCCTATTTCGTAAGTGACTTGGCGCGAAATTTGAACCAAATTTTCCCCGTAGTACCTCTGATAACCATAGCGCCGAAGTTGAACCACCACTTCGCCCATACCGTATACCTGGCTTTATACTTCGCAGAATTGAAATCATGTGCCACTACTGTCCCTCTGCAAGCTTTGTAACTATTTCAGCGCCGAAGTTGAACATAATCTGCCCATACCGTATCCTTGGCACTAATTTGGCGCCAAATTTGAAGTATCGTTTTGTTCTTACCGTATCCTGCAAGCTCTGCAGAAAGTTGGCGCTAAATTTGAACCAATATTTTGCCTATACTATCCGCAGTTTTATAACTTCGGCGCCGGATTTGGGCTATCATTTTGCCCCTACCGTAACCCTGCAAGCTGACGATTTGGCGCCAGATTTGCGACATATTTTGTCCATACCGTACCCCGCCTATTTTGTCAGTATTTTAGCGCCAAATTCAAATCAACTATTTGCCCTATCAGCTGACCACTAGACACCTTTCGATATGTGCTTTGATGCCGTGTCACGACTATCGCTACAGCATGTGTTTCCTATGCAGTGCCGACGTTTATTTATTGCCTATTGTAACAACGCCAAGAGCTTTGTGGTCTTGACGGGATGGGCTAGAGATAGGAGCACACTAAGCTACAGTGATTAATTTCCAAAGCCTGCTGTCACCTAGATATTACGGCGCCAGCGATTGGCAACTCTTATTGGCTTCGTTTCCGTCAAGATTGAGGTCTCATTTGAGAAATTACCGTATCCCTCATATCAAAGAAGCTTTTGCCGGTACAAACTAATTTCAGACCCATCCTTTCAAATTATTTCATGGAAATGATCTCGAAAAAATAAAACCGTTGCCATTTTTCCTAATATGAAATTATTTTTGCCTCAAATGCAAATTTTTTGAAAACGATCTTTACTTTTATCTTTGCTTGGCATCGCTTACTGTTTGCGAATGATTCCCCCCCCCCCCCCCTCCCTCAATAAATCATTTTCTCACCATTAAGAAAACGGGATTCTCTTGTTTACATGCTAACATGGCAATTTACCTATGTTGTTCGTTAGAAAATCCTAGCAGTGTTGGAAAATTTTGCTCAACCTTGAATAATTCTACTATTTCAGAGTGAATTTTTCGAGCTAGCGAGTTTTTGTTATCTTAAAAATTAAAACACTTCGATTGACTCTTCTTCTGATAATGATGAACTTAACTCATGCACAAGTGTGTAACCATGGCAAGGGCATTATTAAATAAATCTTGGAACTCCTTATAAGCCCAAAATATATACTGTTTGCAGTCAACATAAGTATTTCGCAAATTTTTTGGGAAATTATATACACTTTTAATCCGATGAATTTCTTTGAGCTTTCTTTGTCTATCTATTTCTTTCTTTCTTTCTTTCTTTCTCTCTCTTCAACCTTTGTAAGGTTTCTAATATCATCTGCAGCATGTTCCTTTCCTCATCCCTACATTCTTGTGCAGCTAACGAAGCCACTCAACATCATCTTCAGCTTCCAATTAGGGTAACGGAAAGCTCTTCTGGTAACTCTATCCTTACTTCCGCTGCACTGATCCGGTTTGGAATTTGGCTAGAATAGTACCACTGTTAGTCTCAAGTATTTTTGACCGGACGGGGGGGGGGATGAGCTCAGATCTGGGGAATTAAGAAAATCTTAGCGAGCTCACAAACCTGATTTTTGAGAAATAGGGAGTTACAGAGCTAGTCTGAACTTTTATTAAATTATTATGATTGTACAGATCACAAAAAACTTTGAACAACTGACTGAGCAATCATATTTGACGTGGCTTTACCAATTTTTCGCTTTTTTATCTCAAAATTTTCCATTTTTGCAATGCCCACTGCAAACTTTGAAAAGTAGTTATCACGAAGTGTAGAAAAAATGCCTTAGCAACTATAATATTTTTACGAAGCTATTATTGATTTTTCAAGAATTTTAAGAATTATTATGATTACTTTAAGTAAAAACAAGTGACCTGCACAATTCGACAACTCATGTAAGTGACTTTCAAAGTTTTCGCGATCCATTCTCGAAAGGAATTAGAAGCACTATACTTGACAAATTTCAAAATTATTCACGGTTTCATGTTGTCGATATAAAAAGCAAGACCCTATGAAGGGTGATTTGGTAGCAGTTGACTATGTTCTTCTCACAAGCTGGATTGTGTTTTATCTAGATTTTCTACGAAGACACCATATCGTTTTTCTACCACTTGTCACCACCTAATCCTCTCGGGACCTCGTGTCAATCCATCTGAACCACTCAAACTCGTCCACTACTCAACATGTATCCGTATAAGACGCTCAGGGAGCCGATACTTGAATGCATGCTTATGCTAATTGGGTAATCCAATCACGTGTGACCCCATCAGATTGTTTGCCACGGAGCGAGAGGGGGGGGGGATCTCAATGCTAGGATTAATTAAACGGCTCGCGCACCGCCGCCGCGGGGACGCAAAATCTGAGCCCACGGCATCGTATTGTCGTCCTAATCCCGATGCTATCTGCATGGATCCCATCATGAGGCTTGAGACGCTTCTATGAACTCGAAATTAATGCTTTATGGGGTCATAACGTCTTCATTATCGCTTGCGGATCCATATGTTGGTGGCTCGTGCTTTTGTGCATTTTCATGTAGAATCAGAAGTATTCTCTAGCAGCTTATAGTGCGTTTGCAACAGTAAAAAACGGCGTTTTAAAAAGCAAAGTTCCAGTGCTGTTTCTGCAATTAGGTACTTCTTATCTCTGATCATACGTATCTTTACAGCCTATTGATAGTGCCTCAATTACCGATAAGAACCGCGGTAATTGCTAAATTTCGAATATTCTCGAATTTCTTTACATCTCGTTGTTATTTGAAGCTTGTTGTTATTTTTTGCATACGTAAATTTTTGCATATTTCATGCGCAAAAAAGCACAAAACAAGTTGTTTTGGTTGCCTTCCAGGCTCCGAAAAAACTTGGATTGCTTTTAGTAGTTCTGTGGTCGTCATTTGTCGGAATTATTGGCTCTTCAACTTTCAAACTTTCAATTTAAAATTTTAGATTTTTCGCATGAGATTTGTAAATGATTCTAAGAAAATGTCTTTGGACTTGTAATGAAATCAAATCTAAGATTATTGTCTTCAGTATAGATCCTTTTTTCGACGCTCAATCTTGTTTTTTTTTTTACACATTTTTTTTCGCTTTACATTCCAAAGCTTTCACTCACTCCAGGATGCTATTTTGAAGGCGGCATCCGCTCAAATCATCGTCTTCCACGTTCTTGTCATTCTAGGGCCTTTCTTGGCCCTGACTACATTTGGGAATTGCTGTGCAAAACTCCCAAAAAACCGATTTTGGGGCCCTGTCCTGAAGGAGCAGAAGGTGACAGTACTTGAGCGGGCGGATCTTAATAGAGTGGGCGTGGCTTTGTAGCACTTTCGGGGGTTCCACTTTCATTTTCCCATTCAGAGACCACAAAAAAAGATAAAGTATTTTACGATTGCATTATTTGGCAAAATCCCTAGCCCATGTCGCTATTTAGCAATTACTATTTTTTACCATTTTTCTTCAACTTAAATTTTTTTTTTGCATCAATAACTTGCAATAGATGCGCGATATTTGAAGCGCACAATTTTATGAAATTGCATTTTTTCGAAACCATAGGCTCAGAATATTAATTTGGAACACTCGAGACATTGTCTCATTATTTTGAGGAAAAATCGGAGAAAATACGTCTCTCTTTTTGAATAATTGAAATGTCAGTATCGTTTTGGGCCAATTTACCAGTAGGTATTGAAAAAATCATCTTTATGTACTAACCGAGGAAATAAAGGAGCAGTATTTCGGTTTTCAAAAGTCTAGCGATTGTACAAAACTTTCCTGTTTCAACTGATTAATATTACGTTTCTGAGGAAAGTGTTGCTCGGTGCTTCGATCAGAAGTTCATTAGAATTTGATTGGAAGATGGTTTAGTGGGAGTTTTGAACGATATATAATGCAAAAGTTAAGGACCCGCCATAGCCGTAAGAAGCCCAAAAAAAGCCCAAAGGCGGCAGAAAGAGCTGGAACGTTCCCTTTTGTGCGCAAGTTTTGAGGCTAAAACATGTGTGTTGATTTTGCTACGTCATTTTGCTTCTTTTTCTGTCGTTGCACATCAAAATAAGTCAGAATTCTACCGAAAGTTTCAGGGACTTTCCGGCTCTTTCTGGCGCTTTTGGGCTTATTTATGCGAAGTACATATGACGAGTCTCTTATGCTTTATATGGACTTGCTACCGTAACCCTGTATGTAGTAGTACTACCGATTTGATCCCAGTTTGATGCTGTGGTCTGGTAATATTTGAGCTGCAAGTTTACTTACAGTTGCGTTCTTCCTTGCCATTTCCTCCTTCTTTTCGCTTTTATTTTTCCTTTCTTCCTTGCGCACTCCCTCTCTCTCTTGTGTTTTTACTACTTTACCCTCCTCCTTCTTATGAATTTTTAGCGAAACCACCCCCATCTTTTCACCTATTTTGTACCATTGAATTTTAGCCCGTAATTCGAATAATTTTCGAAAATTCTAGGCGCTCTCATGTCAACACCTGGATGAGATGGCAAATTCTGTAGCGGCAGCTGGACGACTACTTGTCGCTAAACGACCAGAAACAGAGACCACGGTCAGTTTTTCTTACAAAATGATTTTATGTCGTTTATCTTGTCGTCAATCACTGTTAAAGACTAAAAGAGTTCAAATAAGATCTGCGGGCCTGTATTTTGTGGTTGGCATAGATTGCAGTAAATGGAACGAATTTGAACAAAAAATGTCTCAAAACTTACAGAATTTGGCGTCTTATTGCAGTCTCTTCTTGATTTCTCTCTGAGGCCAGTAGCAAGATTTGCCCTATCAGTTCATCAGCGCAAGCGTTATACGACATCTTAATGTAGATTAATTGTGTTTTTGCACTGTTTCGCATGCTACCGTATCCCTGCGCACCTGGGTAAAAGTCTGACGGTACAACTTCATAATTATCGGTGAATGGAGTTTTACAATAATTTTTTCCGAAATCCTTTTAGCTTATCTCATCAAAGCGGATTACGATAATATGGGGGTGTGAAAGGTCTGTTTGTAAAGCTTTACCTGTAGTTTTGCTCGTCTTCCAGGGCTGAGAAACATCTATATAATTGTATGGCCCACTAAGCCCATGAAATCTATTCATTCCTGCATTCTGTGAAAGTTGCCCATCAAATCTGTTCATTCCTCATTTTATGAAAGTTATTGCGCAGATTACGTTTGCGAGATTAGGGGGTCTTTGCGACGGCAATGCGAGTAATCAACGGAGAATTCCTCTGTGATGTGACCGCAAGTTGATTGCGTCATAGCTTCAAGTGTAATGGATGGGCTTGGGGACATTTCGTAGAGACCTACGAGGAGAATGAGGGAAAAGCGGAGGGGGGGGGGAGAGGTGGAAATGTGTGGTAGTGGTAATAGGGTATCCTTCGAACAGAATTTAACAGAAATCCGAGAGACAGTTTTTGAATTTTGCAAAAATTGACTGGCTGCTTTGGACTTTGATATCTTAGCTCTACATTTTGGAGGAATTTGGGCCTTAAATCCATACAAAGGATCGATTTTTTTCTGTCAGTGATGATGTTATGGTATTTTTAGGTCGCACTTCGCATAAATACGATCAACTCTGCGATGGAACAACTGCGTTTGCGGAGATGCACATCCGATTCGGATACATGTAGTGAGTAGCTTAATTTTTTACCCGCTATTGGCCCATGGAGGAAGGGACGCGGATTTAAAGAAAAGTGGATTATAAAAAAAGTGTTTTATGTACCAGAATGACCCGATTTGATTTCGTAAGTTGGCGCAATAACGAAATTGACCGATAAACAAACTGGGGTTCGATTATTGAAATTACCTCAGCATTTATTTATACGCAGATCTAATCATAAGTATCAACTTTCAGATCGTACCATCGTACCATCTGAGTGAAGTTGAGTAAACTCGGATTCTCTGAAAGAACTTATATATCAAAATTCTCCTTAAGAATTCCACCTGTTTTTCGATGCATGTCTGGCCTTGGCAGTAGCAAGTGGCTTTACTTGTCCCTAACAAGGCTATAAAATACTAGATAAAAGTACATGTGCCTGTTTGTGGTAATGTCGTAATTAAAATTCATTTATTTTGATCTTGATTGAGTAGTCGGAATCAAACTTTCCCCAAGTAAATGTAACTACCTCGGAAAAGAATTTTCTTGCTCTAGACCAGTTGCTATCAAAATTCATGAAATAGCAGGTTTGGAAGAATGCAACTGATTCTTTGTATACGAAGATGAGGACACTTTGCACGACGATAACCTGTAGAGCAACCATCACTAGATTTGATAAGGGAAGGATAACAACTCAGATTCGCCTTTTGAGATGAGACACATATTAGGTTGTCCCAAAAGTAAACTCCTTTTTTGAATAATTTAAGCTGTTTTTGTTTTCCTAGTATATTTAGGGTATCATTCAATAGAGCAGATCAAGCTCTACAAAATGACCGCCAAAGTTCCGCCTAAATTGCCTTTCATAGTTAAAGTTAAAATTTGAAGCCAAAATCGGAAAAAATTTTGTCACCTGAAAATTGAATTCTTGCGAAAAAAAAATCCTACGGATCTCCAACTTGATCATTATACAGTAGGCACATAATTAGTACTCAAATATGCCCTTACTGTATTTTTCCGCGCATAGAAAGCGAGAAAAATAAGATAGTCTAAAAATCGCAAACTCCGCCCCCAGCCCCTCTCACATTTTATGCTACAAGCCTTACTAAGTATAGACTTAAAATTTCACATCTGCATGTGCTCTAATCGAGAATAACGATTTTTTCATAAAAAACCCGAAAAAAGTGGCATTTTGGCATATTGGGACCACCTTTGTACTCAGTTTTGAGACCCGGAAGAAATCCACTAAATACATTTTTGGGTACTACTTGTGTCTACTATATAAAGACCAATCGGAAATCCGTAGGAATTTTCTGGAAGGAGATCCGATTTTTAGGGTAGCTGAAAAATTTTGATTTTTGGCTCCAGATTTTACCTCGGTTACGAATTAGGTGAATCTTTGATAATCTTTTTGTAGAGCTTGCTCCACTCTATCGAATGGTCCCTAAATCTATCAAACAAACAAAAACAGCTCAAGTTATTTGAAAATGGAAGTTTACTTTTGGGACAACCTAATACAGGGTGTCCCAAAAGTAAGTACACACTTTTCAACCGTCAATATCTCTCTTCTCATTGAGTCTTTTTCCGCCGTTCAAGAACCGTTCTGTAGAAGAGGCTTCATTAGATTTACAATATGGAGCGAATCACCGATCGCTCTTTATTACTGTATGATTACGGTAAGAACTTCCAGCATGTGGAATCATTGTGAAATATGCCATCTGACAAATATTTTTTCAAAAATCTGAAAAATCGTGTACTAAGGTTCTCGCGCAAGCTGATTCTACTAAACAACTTTTTACGAGTGTTTCCAGCTTTTTTGACGGTGTGATCACATTTCTGACGAATGCTGGAAATTCGGTTATTACGGTTTACCTGGGATAACTTTGGAAAGAAGCATCACAGTAAAGCCGAGAACTCACGTTCGGAATCAATGGCTTTCACTACCATGGTACAAGAGTTTTTGGCTTGTCTGGTTTTGTTCCGAGGCAGAATATGGCATCCAATGGCCTAAAATCTTCGTCAAAGTTCGTACAGTAATCCTACAGTAATGAAGGGCAACCAGTGATTCGCTCGATACTGTAAATCTAAGTTAAAGCCTCCTCTGCAGAATGGTACTTGAATGGTAGAAAAAGACTCAGAGAGAAGAGAGATATTAACGATTGAAAAGTGTGTACTTACTTTTGGGACACCCTGTATGTTTGGAATCATCTTGGAACGGTGAATTCAAATATGCTGTTTTTGGCTACTGAGCGTGATTCTGAAGCGATTTATGAGACTGCTATTGTAAGTAATTGGCATACTTTTGAATAGAGAAGGCGGGCTGTAGATGGGAATTTACTCGAAAAAAGTGCTAGGATGTTGAACAAGCGTCAGATTAGGCCTTTCGATTGGAAGGGAGCATTATTCACTTTCAAAACCACCTAGACGTCGACACCGTAGCATGAGTAAGTCGAAGACCACGCAAATTTTGCAGAGAAAAAGAGCCTGAGTCGCTTCAAGATATGATGATCAGCAGCTAGGAAAAGCATATCTGGAATCAGCGTTCCAAGCGTTCCGAAGGTATGTGTCTCATCTCGAAGGCGAATCTGTGTAAGTAACCTTCCCTTGTAGGAAAGGTTTTGGGATGTGGAAAAGAATTCGCAGATAGGAGTCTCGCTGCTAGCCGGGACTGTTGTTTCTGAAATTTCCACGGAATCAACTAAATGCTGGACTTTTTTCTTAAACGTTTGAAATGAGCCATTATACAAGTCTGCTATATTTAAGCACAGCAAGTTCTCTGCTTTGCATATTCACGATTTCATTCGCGTAATAATTCTTATATAAGGTTAGGTAACTCAACAAATCTGTTGAGTTGTCTGGAAAATATGTAGTGTCGCATTGCATCCTACGATAGAGTAAATACGAAAAGCGACTGGGATATCATTTGATGGAGAAAGGCAAGCTCTACAAAATGAAATTAAAGATTTGTGCAACTTTGATCCACATGAAGTTTGAAGTCAAAATTCAAATATAATAATTTTAAGTATTCGAAAAATCGCATCTTTGTCTATAGACTTTCTTCGGATCTCAGATCTGCTTAGGCACATCTGACATTTACGTATGCAGTATGTGGGATTTTTCCATGGCTGAATGAGAAACAAAAACAGGCTAAAAGTGCGAATATTTTGCTTTTTTCGTTTTTTTTGCGATAAATTTGATATCTCTCGAATATAAGCCATTGTAGAAAGCTCAAAAATCATACACATATTTCCAAAGGGTTGTACTATACTATCAGCCATTTTGGAGAATTTCAAGATTTTGTTGGCAAATCTACAGATTTCGTTTTCTCGATCTCCAACAATGGAAAAACCAAAGCTACGCATGCGAATGTCTAATGTATAGAGTTATGCATGAGCAAGCTGGTGCTTCCCATATTTTTTGGACACGTTGTTTTTTTTGATTTTTTGGGCCTTGACCTAACTTAGGCAAATCTTGTCACGATTTTGAGCTTCATTTTGTCTTTTCTTTGGCCTATCGAATGGTACCTTAATCACTTTTTCTGTGATTACCCTGCCGCGATATTGCAAGATAGATTACGCTGTGACTTATTTTTCCCCGCAACCTTCTTCAAAAATGAGGCAGTGCGAACAGAAAGTTTTGTTTCTCGAGTTTTCTTAGTCGAATCCCGATTTTCCATAGACGGAAAAATGTTTTATCATGTGAAAATAGTATATCTAAACCTACTAAGTGTAGGAGAATCATTATGCGAAGAAATCTGAATGGCAAAGCCTAACTTGTTGTGATTGCTGTCACCACAGCAAATCGTGCCAAAAAGTGTTTGATCACCTGATATACCCCTCCTTTCTTATGTCGTTCCGCATTTACTCGCGCTTATGCAGAGCTTTTTCTTCTTTTGCCTCAGTGGCTGTCAAAAACGCCACAACCTTCTGAGCATCCATGTTTTGAAACATCAAAAATTATCTTCTGAAGCAAATGAAAGAATTATGTCTTCGCAGGCTCCCGCTCGCAACCATCATCCGAACTTCGCGGTTGGATCCATTCGCAGGAGAAGCGACTGCTGGAGTTGGAGCAGCGCCTGAAGGAAGGCACTGGATTGACGAAACTGCTATCAGATCAGCAGGTGAGTACGAGGAGTCACTACGGAGTGGGCGTTTTCATGGAGAGCGAGCTGCCAGCTGGGAATGAAGGAAGCGCGAGGAGGCCTAATGTGGTGTATTTTCCTGACCAAATTCAAAAACAATCTTCTCTCGAAAATGTCAGGCGTATATCAATAATATAACTCTATCCGAACATGGTATGATAAATGGATAGGTGTACTGGGCCTACTACAGTATACCTGCTGTATTCCAGCCGAGTACGTCAGAATAAATGCGTTTTTTCGCAGGAAGGAGCTGAATTACGTCACGTCGCTGCAAATTTCTCAAAAATATCATCCGATAAGACAAAATCTGTGCTAATTAATCTGTGCTAACTAAGTTCAATGAAACCGATAATCTAACCGATAATCGATAATCTCATCAAAGCAAACTTGGGGTACTGTAGGCGTACGGTAAAAGGTCGAATACAACCATCATTGAGCATTGTACAACTACCGTATCTGGATGGATGGAAATGTATGAATTTCGCAGCGGCTAGTTGATTCGATTTCTTTCTTGTAATAATAAGAAAGATAGATTTTTTTGTTACTCCGTTTTTTTTGTAGGTTATATATAGAGGCGACATTGTGCTGCTCTCTTAATGACTGAAGTTACGGTTGGGAAAATGAACCCAATAATCATCTAAAAAAATGCAAGGAAACGTTGTTCCTTGCAAAATTTAGCTTATAAGAAGGAACTTGTTGTACCTATACATTAGTCAATCAATTACCCATGCCGTTGCAAACCTGGCCTTCAGCTATACTATGGTATTAGCAAGTTTGGTGGCGCCAGTTTTTTTGACTTTTACAATTATTACCGGAAGCAAGACAAGTCCCCGACTATGGCAGAAAATGGTTGGTAGTTAGGTAATGAAAAAATATGCTACCAGTCCTGTCTTCTGGAACTCGTTTTGGCCTTACTTTAGCTTTTCCCATGCCCTCATTCTCACAACTCTGAATCTATTGCTAAGCTCTTTCCAGAATTCCTGCTTCTCCTCCAAGAAATCAAATGCGAATTTTTTTATTTTATATTCTACGCCTTCCTTATCTCTTCCAGAAAATCTTTGGTAAATTTTACCAGGTGTCAGGTGCTGCAAAATCAAAACTGAAGCAAAATTGAAGAAAATTTTAGCGTATTTTGAACTGAAGTAACCTACATTTTTCTGCTGAAGAACCAGGAGCTGATTTCTGAGATTCGACCCTGTTATTTTTGCGGCAAATTCACGCGTTTTTTTTCAAATCGGGTACAAATAGCACCTGGCACGAAGCCAAAACATCCGTACACCTTATTACTACTAGTCACTCATGACAGGTGGCTGCATTTCCTGAGGTCGTCCGGGGTTGCATGTGCGTGTGTGAGGTTAAGAGATTCACATATGAGTCTCGACCTTTAATTAACACCTTGACGGGTGGCTCGACGGTCGATACACTCGCCAAATCATTCAGTCAACTCAGACGGGTTTTTGCTCCACCTGTTGAGGTTGAGGTCATTTGAGACAGTTATCCCTCCCCCCTCCTCTCGGAGAAATTTTTGTGACTAGCTCTTTGATACCCAGATTGCTCGCGTATGTTTGTTTGCTTTGTTATGGTAAGATGTCCTTGAGTCGATGAGGTACTCGACACAGCCCGATCAAGGTCTAACTTAGCCTCATTGCCATGTTTTTCTACTCTCTAGCCCCACTTGCATTTTACCCAAATTGCTGCGCTGACTTTGCCATGCAGACTAGCTTACCTTCTGGCATGCATATTGGAGTGGTTTGGTCCGTGATCTTGAATATTTGGGATAGCTTGTGAATTTCCTCGGTCATATAGTGGTATCAACCCTAGTCGTTCTTTCTACAAATTGAATTCAAGAATGTGATACGACTTAAGGCACGTGAAGTGGTTGAAAAGAAGATTCTAGAATCTGAACATGCATCACAAATTTCTACACAACTGCCATACTTCGTATATAATCCATTTACACAGCTATTCGGATTTGTTGCTTTCAGCCTCTTTTTCATTCATTTCTGTAGTAACTCTACCTCCATAAATAAGCTGTCGCTTAAGTCATGCACCAAAATTTCTGAAAATGAACTCTTGAAGTAGTAAAGGATTCGTTTGTTTTGAAAAATTATGAATAGAATAATCATAGATTTAGCGGTAATCAAAACAAAATTTGTGAAAACACTCAAATCTGTAAAAAAAAAGCCAAAGGGAAATTATGGTTTTACTTCTACTTGGTTCTTGTAACCTATTATATTTAGCCAAAAAAATCTTGATAACGGGTCTTTACCAATAACTCTTCGAATTCGGATTTTATTTGACTCTTTATTTCTGCTGTCAACGTCCAACATGTACAATAAAATACAACATCTGTTGTAATTAGTAAAAATTTGCAATATAGTACATTTTTTTGTTCGTAGATATCTCATAAACATTATACAGTATTAAGAACTTCAAAATTTCGAAACGAATTCCTCAAAATTTTCAATGCAAGACTTAAGGGAACCTGATACTTCTGCTTACTGTTACATTTTCACTATTTTTTGAAAAGTATTGGATACAAAAAAAAATGCTCACACATTCGTTCAGGAGTTTAAAGATCAAATTACAGTTGATTTATGAAGTCAATCACTTCAATATACTCGTCCCATTCTCTCTCAATATCTATCTCTTCAAAAAAATTCCATGGTTATGCAGTTTAAGAGTATTTATATCTTAAAAATTGGGTATTTGCAAATTTATAAATGTCAAGCTAGTAATTGAGGTTTTTTGTCACAGCAACTTGATGGTTGCCATTTACGGTTCGCAGTTTCTCAGCTATGTTGACTCAGCAGCCTTTTCTGAATCATCATACCTTTGCCGAGGAGAAAACGAAAGAAAACATGGCCGTTTATTTCCCATTCGATTGTGGCCAAAATTAGCCCTCAATAGTTGCGCGCTCGCTGGCTCTCTCAGCGCTGCGCACCATTTACGGTCTCGGATTGTCAAGAGTGTGTACGTATCGCTACGTATATATGTATACACACATCAATCACACACTTATCTGAGTGCATCTCGACCGTAATCCCCCCCCCCCCCTCGTACCCCTTTCCCCGCCGTATCGCTTTTGTACAGCTGCTTAGTTGGGTTTTTTTGCGTCGTAATGGGTGTGACGAACTAATTCTTTCGTACCCCGGGAATCTCCCAATTAGTTCTTGCCTCTCCTATAAAACCAAGTAATGAGCTGCTGGGTTCTTGTTCGATGAGTTAATTGTACCCAGAAAAAAGTGGCTTAGCTACATTCTTAGGGAAATGACTCCCCGGGAAATGTTATTGTACCAGAAGTCGTAAAGACATTACCATAGCTAGCGCCTCTCTTTCCCAGGACGAATTCCTCAGCTCTTTAACTTGGGTAACTGGTTCCCGAAACGTACAACGTCCTCTTTCATCGCCATCGCGTTAATAGCGCACATCACAGCGGGATTCCCTAGCATTCTTTACGTATTTAGGCTGGGAAAGATGCGCATTCTTCATCTAAATTCTTCTCGCAGATAACATGCTTTCGACACCTCAAAAATTTTGGTCATTGTTTAGCTTAGTTTATTAGTTGGAAATCTTAGAAATGGAACAGCTTGACAGTTTTTACCACACATTCATCGACTTTATCATACACTTTATCCTCTCACTTGACTTTTCAGTTTCTAACCAAGATGTTTTGCATACCAAAATCATGCTGGAAATCTCGTTTTATTCCTTTTTGCTTGATTTTGCGAGAGATTTGAAAGCTTCCATAATTAGAACAAGTGAGTAATAAGCTGCAATCATCATTTTATGTTCCTCCCTAAGATCACTCAAGATGCCATATGTTCCGTTGTTCCTTATGCCGAATACAAGCGAGTCAACAAACGTAATTTGTGCAATCACACACGACCTACAGTTTGCATGGAAATAGCAACGGCACATATGTGACTCATTGCTTCAGTATTTCTTTTAGATTTTTTTTCTAGCAATGAGGAGATAACAAGATTCGGAAGATGTGCACAGAGAGCCAGTAAATTTTCAAAATTCTGCAAGACAAACAGTTCCTGAAACATATCTGGAAGAGGGTGTAATTTGAGATTCGAATGTTGTAGGGGTTTAATGGTTTTCGATGAGTAAAGGGGGCCAGCATATTGGCTTCTTTACTCTGATTTACTTCAGTCAGATTCAATCTAGCATGACAGAATATCGGTTGAGCTTTGCGTAGTAATTTAGTGTGCTTATTTTGGCCCGTGACCATATAATAAAAAAATACTCATCTCTTTTCTTTATTACTCTAATTTCACGCGTATAAGGCGCACTTCTTCGATTTTTCAAGCGAGCCGCTCAGCCGTTTCACTGTGTTTCGGAAAAAGATTCTTATACCGCACAATTTTCTTTGGCAATATACAGCACGTTATAGGGTCCTTTATCTGGGCTGGTCGATTTTTAAAAAATCCCGCGCCTTATACGCGTGAAATTAGGGTATATGCTTTTTCCAACAAGATACGCGTTTGCTCGATAATTGCTTTTGCTACTTAAAAGGAAAGCCTATTATAATCTGTTGACATTAAGATATTTGGAATAAGAATTAGAGTGTTATGCTGAACGTTCATTTTATGATTTCGCAAGAGAGTTGTAAACTTTTATGGATACATACCGGATTCCTCGTAAGGGTGGCTATGCTTGGTATGCTAGGAATCTGCGCATATCTTTGACTTTTTATGGATTGTTGGCTTACTGTAGTCATAAAATCAGGCATATATACTTGAGACTGTTCGTAATAATTGTTTTGATTGCAAAGCCTATGATACAGTCACGAAAAGACAAATCAGTTTTCCCAAGCTCCAGTACCCCTCCCTCCTTCCCCCTCTTCTTCTTTGAAATCCTGCCTCCTCCTTAGTGGATGAGTTTCTGCGCGGCACTCTATCTGTCGAATAGAGGAATAGAGATGCCGCCTATGCAAATTTTGTCGCCTCCATTGACTCGCTTTCATAGCCATTGTTTATCGAAAATATTGGGTTGTTTCGAGCGACCCTCGGCTCATACAAACAATTTCCGTTGCATAGGATTTCCATGCTTTTGTGATGACAAGAAAGGAGGAGCTGGAGAAAACAAGAAGAAATCTGGAGAGAACCGGCTTCTCTGAGGGTGCGCTCCATTTACACACAGGCGTGGTTCCGTTATTCGCTCTGAGAGCCGCATCTTCCTTGAGTAGATTTGAATACTGTAGGTACACTGAGGTCTCATGTGCATGTCTTTGACCTCAAAACTCGTCGTGGACGGGCTATGAGTGCAGTTTTAATGGCGACCGTAATTCTGTAGTTATCGGGTCCAATGGATTGCCCTGTCTCGGCTCTTTGGCCTTGTCCAGTTCTCCCCGGATAGGTAATCTATCTTCATGACTCGGGAAAAGGCCCGTTATTCCGATTGGCGCGCTCATTCCGTCATCCTAGATGATTTTGGTAGAGGAGTTGGTATTGAATGTAGTCTTCTCTGCCTGTGTATGTTCATTCACTCATTTCAAAACATTGTACAAATATTCGCTTCTTCCATTTTTTCGTCCACTTAATAATTCATTTGAACGTGTTTAGTCTTTCAACTTCGAAAAGCATTGAAGAAAAGAAACGGAAAAGAGGATGAATAGTCTTTCTTCCAGTTGTCTACATATCTACTCATTTGTTTGGGTTCTGGCCACTCACATTCATTCTCTCTTATTCTCTTCAAATCAATTTATCGATTTAGCTATTCATCGACCATTAGAACATTTGTTCATTTTTTCATTTTCCACACATTATATTCATTCCTTCAAAATTCATTCATTTAACCATTTATTCGGTCTTTTTCTCTATCAAAAGATCATTCAATCAAAAATCCAGTTTTTCGTTCATTCATCCATTTACTTCATTTTGATTCCTACGTTTATTTACTTATTTATTAATTATTAATTAATTAATCGGTTAATTAATCAACTTATTTATCTACTCATTTCTTCGTTGATTTTATTCAAAATCAAACATTCAGTCGCTCGAATGGACAATTCGGGGCCCGTAAATTAGAGATTGAAGATTTCCATCGTTATCCGAAAATGATTTTTTCTACCAAGAAAACATTTTCCTCTTTCCCCACCCCCAAACGAGGAAAATCCGTTTATCTTTTACCGTGGAAAAATTCTATCCTCATAATAGTCTGGGCTTTTTCCCATATTATTCTTATCACTACCTTTCCATTCTCTTCCTCCCCCCCCCCCCCCTCCTGAAGCTATTCCTTCTTTGAATCGGCGAAAAAGGCAAGGACAACAGAAAGATTGCATTTCACCCATGGGAACAGCGACGGATTTGTTGCAAAAGTTGACAGAGCGATCCGTGCCACCCGTTGCACTTCACGTTACGCACAGCAAATCACACAGAACATATGCTTCTATTTATGGACTGCTGCGGAGATGAACAAATATATCCGAAAAGAAAATAAAGTCAGAAAAAGATATGATGGTGCTTTTCTTGACGGAAAGTCAGTCAACTCTCGCTTTCGCAAGTGTTTTCCACCTTCACCACTCGAGAAAACGAGTTCGCTCTATACTGAGGGAGACAATTTCGCGCAGATTCCCATTCTTCACCACCTCTTGGCCAAAAGTGGCCTTGCAAACAGCTCACCTTAGCCACTGTGGTGATCTTCTCATCTGGCTTCAAGATCTCGTATTTTTGTGGCGATGGTTTTTGTGACGGTTTGGACAGATTTGGAACAGTTGCGATGATCTCAAGGACAGAAGAAAGACCTCCATGAGTAGGGGGAGGGGATGCTTTTTGCGTCTTTAAACTCTTGCACAATGCAGAAATTTTTTGAACTTCTTACTAATCGATCAGCTTGTAAATGCAGACAAAAAGTCGACGTAGAATGTGTGAAACTGCAATTAAAAAGTTATTTAAATAATTCTTCATTTTACAATAATAATCGTCAACCTGGGCGGCACTTGAAAAAGTGAATTTGTACGTACTCAACAAGAGCCCAGGTTTGAGGATAAGAGGACCTTAGGCGTATTTTTCGTTTTTGATTTATAATCACGGGACTAACACATTGCTGGACATAATTATAAAGCCACTCTTGGTGCAAAAGTTTTGTCAGTTTTTTCAATCCATCGGCAAGCACGCTAAAATGAAGATAAACAAACACGTCAAGAAGTATCCGATGCAGAATCTCCTCCTCTTTCCAGCTGCTAAACTTCCGTTGTGTTTCGTTGAGAAAATGACGAGATATTTGCTGGAAATTACAACCACTCGTTTTTACCATGTCCAACTTTCACTAATTTTCAAAATTTTTGTATGAGATTTTCGAAGGAGCCCTAATAACCATCAGATAGGGCAACCTTTTGCCAACAGAAGCAATTGTTTGTAGCCCTACGCCTTGTTTTCTAGAATTTTTACGAAATTTATTGGGAAAATCGCATTACTTCTCAATTTCATGAGTGCGCACTCACGTAACCTATGTTTCAAAATCTTCATAATTTAAAGCGAAAATCGCTCATTTACTTTGTAATGATAACGGTAATAATAATCGTGTGTTGAAACCTCAGTGTTCTGTAGGTTTTGCAGTGTTTGGTACAATGAAAGATTATGCGATTTTTTCAAAACACAAGACTTTCAGAAAATTACTTAGCAAAATCCTGAAGGAGCAGCTTAAAAAAAAATTGCATACGTTGGCAAAAGGTTGCCCTATCTGGTGGTTATTAGGGCTCCTTCGAAAATCTCATACAAAAATTTTGAAAATTAGTGAAAGTTGGACATGGTAAAAACGAGTTGTTGTAATTTCCGGCAAATATCTCGTCATTTTCTCAACGAAACACAACGTGAGCTTAGAAGCTGGAAAGAGGAAGAGATTCTGCATCGGATACTTCTTGAAGTGTTTGTTTATCTTCATTTTAGCGTGCTTGCCGATGGATTGAAAAAACTGACAAAACTTTTGCACCAAGAGTGGCTTTATAATTATGTCCAGTACTGTATCTCTTCGAAATTCTTCTTTATACGTTTTAAGTTCTTTTTTACCACATCTAATTCAGAAGCTCATCCAGTCGTATAAGATACGCTTGCTGGAAAGAAAGTATAAGCACTTCAGAGTATTGAGGAGCTCACAGTTTTGTTTGTCTGTGAAAAAAAACATTTTTTGAATTGAACAAAGCGGGCTATGTTTGGGATTTGTCTGTGAAAAATGTTTTTTAAGACTGTTCTTGAAATGTCGGACTGTGCACTGGGCCTTTTTGTAAGAAAAGGTTTTTGTAAGGCTGTTCTTGAGGAAATCGGCCAGGCTCTGGAAACTGTAATTTTGCTGAGCAGACAATCAATAATCAATATTCCTTTTCTAAATTATGATTGTCTTCGGGAAAATTGAGATCACTCCTTGAATTTCCGCTTTTCTCTTTTGGTTATGCTTCGGCGTCCTTTAGATGTATTTTGGCCTTGGAAGCCAGACTGAAATTTGGTGAATAATTTTTGGGAATTTTATCCCGGCTTTGTGGCTGCTCTTCCTACTTTTAGCGACGGTTTTTACTAAATTTTCAGCAAAACTAAGTATTCAATCCCGCTAAGATAGACGTCTGATTTACATTAGTTGATATCATTGTAGTCACTCTTTCTTTGATCTACTCAGTCATTCAACTTAAATTCGAAAATCACATAAAATCACATCTTCCCTTGGCACAGATCCATAACATTATTCCCAACCGTATACATTAGTGCATTGTGGTGTGGCGGTGCGATGGCAGATTTACGATCGCCATCGCCGACAATCGCGGCGATTGCTCTCTGTGATAATTTGTGGATTTACAAGCGTTTATTGTTATTCTCTCTATCTCGCTCTCTTGCAGATCCTCCAGCTCGAAATCCAAAGCGACGGTCAAGCTCTGATCAATCGTCTCTATCAACAATTCAGGTAATTTCGTTTGAAGATCCTAATGACAGATTACGTTAACTGGAGTCTGAAGCGTAGGAATATGAAAAAATAGAAATTTTGGCTTTGAAACATGCGAAAACTGGTACAAATAGTCTGGAAATAAAAGACTACGTAGACTTTTTTGATACTGTAATGAACGGTTTTTTTTGAAACTGATTTACGTATATCTCGCAACTCAAGAAAGCGATTTTCTATGTAACGAACTCTTCTGCAATTTTCTAAATGTCTTTTTTCAAGTCTGCAAAAAGTCATAAGCTTCAGCCTTTCGAGCCCTTTTTTGGCTATAAATGTTGAGTGGACGAGTTTTTGCATCATCATCACATCCATCAAAAAACTGAACGATTTTTTCTGGTGGCGATTAGGACAAAATAGGGCAATAAATTTTCGTGCGCTTTTTTATGTCGTCAGAAAAACATGGCAATGAAAAGTTTCTGCTGCACTTTTTGGGTTTTTTCTAAGCCCGTGAATGATAGTAATTTTTTTATTATTATTCGTGATGCAAAAATCTGGTTGAGAAATTAAAAAATCGTATAGGGTTGGAAAATTTTTTAGAAATTTTTAGTTATATTTTTTTGAAATTCTTGACTCTCGTATCGATTAAATACAATCTTGTGCTTTGTAAACTCTGCAAATAAGGAATGAATTATCCAATTTCTTCCGGATTTTTGAAATTAACAAACTATCTGAATGAAAAATCTTCCAAATCTTTTTCTGAACTGCGCAAAATGGTCCCATGCAAAACCACAAAACATTTGTAGTCCGTAAATGGCCGTTGCTGACTCTGTTTTTATGGAACTGAACATCTGAATGACATCTGCCAGAAGAATGATGCATCGTAACGTAAAACAATGAAAAATGGCAGCAGGCAAGCGGCAAACCGGCTGTCCAGCCGGTTGCAGCCCTTCTGCTGGCTACAGTTTTTCCATGTAATGTTCATTTCCTACGGTTATACGAGTCCATGAATGGCATGAAATGGACCCAACAGGGCCTGATTGTCTCTTTCTGCTTGATTTCATTGCCATTTCAAGGTTATTTAAGCATTTATAGGCTTTGGGGCGCAGCTGCTGTGCATGATTTCTTTCAGAATCTTTTTTTATTTTTTTTATTTTATAGCCTTGAATCTAGCCCTAAATTTTTGCAGAGACGAGCACGACGACCGTACGGCTGTAGAATTAGCAAAACGTAAACTCACATTCGATGCTATACGAAAACGATGGCACAATTTATATTTGAACAGCCTCTGCCTACAGTGTCGAATTGAGGAAGCGATTAATCGATTTCAGGTATTGGTTTTTAGTTTATACTTTAAGCGATTTCAAGGGATCGGTCATTGTCACACATTCGACAAAGTTTTACGACCTCCCCGGTTTGTTGACGAGTCATTTAGAGGTTTATAAACATCGAAAACTGATGTTATCCGCATGTTTTTGCGTACGCGCGCTACATACAAAGCATTTTAATTGACGCGAAGGAAGTACTATAATGATTGCTATCTTATGAAGCTTTTCAGACGTGCTCTAGCGGTTCTTCGGGTTCGAAACTCCCCCTCTCTCCCCCCCCCCCCCCCTCCCCTCCCCTCCCTCTCCCTCCCCTTTCATTTTCTTTGATCCTTCTTGTCCATTATGTAACCGATGGTCTTCCCGCGCTTTCAGATGCTACTCATGTACCACCATATGGCTATGAAACCAGTTTGCTAAATAGCTGTCGTTTTTGTTTGTTTGATGACCGCGTGAAAATCGAGCGCCAATTTTGAAAATTTTCCCTTATCGCGTTGGTTTGTCGCTTTTTGAAGAGAAACTCACCGTCGTATGATATATGTGTTTCAAATCTTTTGACTATCAGGTCCGAAGAATTCTTTTTCAAAAATTATCCAACATGTTCAAAAGAAAAATTCTGTGGTAGAAACTGTTGCCATAATGGGTGATTTACAAGTTGTTTAGCGGTTAGAAATTCTTATCTTTGAGGTCATGCTTGTTACGGCCGGCTGGTTACAATTCACTTATCAGTCCGGCTTAAGCTATCATATTGTGTGCTTGCACACCTTTGATAAGTTCTGGTTGAGAATTTTAGCGACCTTTGTTCCTCTTTCTTTTTTCCGTTTTCTTATTAAGTTCTTTCGAAATTGAATTAGTGTGATTTATCAAAAAAGAAAAGAGGTTAAGGGAAGCATATTTTTATTTCCTGTAACCTATGAAAAGAAGGCGCCCAGTTACGTATATCCCTTTCCTCGTCTCTCATTCCCCTTCACCTCAAAGGTGAGAAGAAATTTGGCTGAATTTTTTGCAGTTTGTAGAAGCTACATAAAGCCGACACCTAGAAATTCTGAATACGAAGTTTAAATACGCGTTGCGGAGTACCGTCCCCCGGCGAGTTTATTGGTTCACTCGGAAAGAGTACGGTGTGGGCGAGAGTTCAGAGTTGAATTTTTTTGAAGGATTTGATCATACATATGAGCAGTGTTGCACACTTAGAGCTCTACAACTAATTTTCACAAAGGAAGCGCTGGTTTATCAGATTTGTCTGGACACTGCCTTTTGATATTTTGTGGCAAACTGGAGATTGCCCATCCTATTAGGAAAGTCCTAGATGAAGAGCTTCCGCGGTCATTACTAGCCAGGATTTTTTTGACGAAATTGCGTTTTATGTGTATTTGGGCTCTTTCTTATAATCTTAATCTAACACATTAGTTACACTGGTGACCAATATCCGTTCCCCCCCCCCCCCGCACCCTTTGCTAAAGTTGGGACACTGCAATAAAGCCTTATCTCAGCATGAAATGCACTTGATGGCCGGTTATAGGCGGAAATTGGCAGTTCCCTCTGTGAATACACATTAGATCTTGCGTCGTCCTTCCTCTTTTCAGCTCTTCTTCCCTCTAGCCCCCCCCCCCCCCCTTAAATGAATGCTGAGAAACTCGATACCATCGAAGTTTGGATTTAGTGTCGTCTCGTTTCGCTTCAGTCGCAGCTGGCCTGATTTCAGAGCAATTATCTCGTAATTACTTGAAACGCACCAGTGCGCCAGTTTCGCCTGTGTTCGCGTCATTGTCACGACTGTATAATGACACTTGCGGTGGTCCTTTAGCGACAGTTGGTGACATATATGGTCTAATAATTTAATATTGTTCAACGACGTAATCTGGAATTGGCAAATTTCCAGCTTGTTTTACTCAGTAGTTAGGGTAATTTTTATCGATCATTTACGCGTCCTTGGCAAGTTTCCAGCTCGCTTAATTCTCTAGCTACCAAATTTTTTATTGATTTTTTTGCGCGAACCCCGCCCCTCTCCCCTTCTTTTCTCTGCATTTATTATATTGCTCCACTGCTATTAGTCTTATTATTGCGCTCAGTTTCCCGACGATGATGCTAACAGAGGTGACAGCATATCGGACATAAGACTGACAACTCACCCTGTTCCTTTACACCCCCTGCTGAGGTCTGAGAGTGGATTGCATAGCTTGTATATAGTCACCATTGTCAACTACTCGGATGTTATCCTTCACTCATCTGGAGATCTGTTTACTGTTTGTGTGATTGCACAAAACACATCTCGCAGAACTGCTTTTTATTATGGTTTTTGAGGCTTACAGATTGCTCAGAATTTAGTGGTTTTTTCGGTACTCCAAATAACCTAACAAATCGAATCACTAGCATTTTCAGTATGACTATGTAAAACGTTGCTTTAAAATTTTGAAATAGATAATCATTCAATATAGCTTTATTTTACTTTTGGCAATCCATCTTCTCGCAACAACTAAAAAAGCAGTTTCAAACGGGAGAAGGCACAATTTCACAGCAGCAACACCTTTTTTGTTCGAAAAGTGTTTGATGTGCAGTTGCACCATGGCGCTTTTAAATGGAATGATCACATATGTAGATTCGAAGGTATAGTGCCCTTACGATATCGTTGCACGTGTAGCACAACGATATTGTAAGTTTTAGAGCGTACGTTTTCACGATTTGCGCCTCGTGGCCATTTTTCACGCTCAAATGTTATCAACACCGCAAAGGCACTACAGATACCATCGGGTCAATAGTTGTGTACAGATTTGTGGCAAATGAGTTATTCCACTTTTTTGAGAACGTTTTATAGTCATTTTTGTGGCAAGAGAGATTGAAATATGCAATAAGTCTATATTCACGCTAAAAATTTTTTCATTTGCTTTCTAGCCGTTTTGATGCATAGTAAAGCCTTCACCCGCAGAAAAAATTTTAGTTTCATGAAGTTTCCAAGAAAAAGTCCCATTTTCGTGATATTTTCCCTCCAATCCATCTCTCCAACTGGGCTACGCCCCAGTGAACTCGGCGAAAACCATTCTCCTCAAGATGTTGTTCACAGTCCATGTTGTTATCCTACTCTTCTTATTTATGTGTTGCGTTTCCGTCAGTCTACCGAGGTGCATCCGCTCGACCGAGCAAGTGTCGGTCACTTCTGTGTACTCATTACCACCGCTCACCGCCTCGTTCAGCTCTTTTGATTTGTGGTGTCTGTCGGTGTCAGTGCCAGCTCTTTTGGGACAGCATTTGATGTCTGATTTATTGTCAGATATTCACATTAGTTTGATTGATTTAGTGGTATTCTTGGACCATGTTTTTTCAGAGTTCGTAGGCATGAAAATCAGCGTAGAAAATGCATGTTATTCTTTAGTGGTAAGTAGGTCAAAAATCATAAAAGCGTTTATTTCCGTATTATTTTCATTGCGAAAAACGTTGTACAGGTCAAACGAGCTGGGTGAGTAAAATAGTTGACTAAACGGCGGTGGTACCGGAGGTGGAGTTGACCCAGGGGCGGAGTCGGCACGACATAAACAGGCTCGTTGATAATAAATACTCTACGAAAAATTATGATTTGAATGTTTTCAGAATTTTACCCCCTTCTTTTCTGCTATTTTCCTAACTTTTCCTCCTTCTCTTTAGGCTTCCTTCTTATGTTCGTTGCAGGATATTGAGTTGAAAAAAGAGGGTAGACTTTCACCAGATGCCTTGCATTATACCCTTCCTCTCCCACCCTCCCCCCGTTACGTCTAGCATTATTCACACCTTGACCTGCTGTCTTATTGTTAGTATCTCCAGAAAACAGAACTTGCTCTCCCCCTCCGCAACCCCTCGCTTCCCCTAATTGTCATTCATGAATTCCAATGAGCATCAATTACGGTAATCTGATCGCACAAGCGACGATTATTGTACTCATAAAGATTGTTTTTCGAGATTGACCTTGCTTTTTTTCAACGCGAGAGTTTTCATTGCAATTGAGGAATTTTATGAATGAAAATCTAGGGCAGATACCGTGTCCTTTTGTCGCGGAGGAAAAGATTATTTTGAATACCTTGGTCGGGACAGAGGTGGGGAGAGGTGTGCGGAGCTGTCAGAACCGTACGATTCTGTCAGCCCCGCCTACTTCCTAAAGGATGAAAACTAACGGCTATACCTAACACTATGACAATCGCGTACAGTTTTCGTTGGACGAGAGAGTTGCGAATATGATGAACCTCTTCCCTGTCCCTTCCCCCCTCCCCCGCTCCCCTTTACGCAAGCACCTGTTACCCCTTTATGGGTGTCGAATTTCTCTCGTCATGTCGGGCAATGCAGTTGAGGATGGGTTTGTCGTCAAATCGCAGCCAAGCGCGATTCAATCGCTTCTCGCTGCGATCGACCGTTTATGGGGCTGTTCCAACTAGAGAGAAGTAGCGGTATGTGTCGATGAGGATGTTGGACTCGTTTGGCTGGTTTTTGAAGGAGTCGCGCTTTGTTCAAATCTTGAGGGGGGGGGAGGGAGGAGAGGTTTGGGAATCGTCGGGTGGTTTGGCTTCTTTACGCCTAAACCGAGTCCCAGACCTTCCAAAGAGCTGGCCTTATTCTTCCAAAACCACCTGGGCCTCCTCTATCTCCAGTCTCATCCCGAACTCACTGGTATAATCCATCGCTCCATTCTGCCAAACCTGATATCGCTAGCGCATCAGTTACAAACACAAGTACCTTGTTTGTTTACCTGTGTTTACCTAGCTGCAAAGTCACTCTGCCTCGCAATATGCCGCTCTTCCCCTAAAGCACACATAATACAGCGATTCGATCAGGATGAAGTGCTTTACGAGTGTGCGTGGAGCACAGCGTAACTCGTCCTTTGGACAGTGATCAGCTTGCGACTGAAAATACACGTAAATCTGGAATTAGAAAAGCTCATAACTTTTCAGAACAATGCATCGCAGATATAGACAATATATCTGAGACCAACGTTTTAAGCTCATTGGTATAAATCACCTTCCGAATCGCGCCACTTCGACTAAGTGAACATCCCTTGTGAGTATAAGTGACGCTTTCTACGTCGAGCTCAAAAAAATTCTGTGCTGCTTATTCATTAGCCTTGTTCGGATTGTACACTTTTGGGCTGGAGAAAAATAGCTTGCTGTTGTAACTGGACACCGTGCAAACATGCTTTCAACGCCCAGGAATGTTGTGAATTGTTCGTGCACGGCTGCTTGTTCGGCGAGCAATTCGCTGGAATGAGATTTTTCGCGCTTCTTAATTGAAAAAGGGTAGCTCAAGGGCGAATCTTTATCAGTGGTATTTTTGCAGAATTTTTGGCATGTTATCCTCAAATATTCATCGTTTTGAAGCAGAAAAAGCTCAATAAATGCGTTATTTATTGTAGCTAGGCGGATCAGTTATCCAGGTTCTTCTTGAACCTAGTCTCCTCATGGTTTTGTTCCACACAATATTTATTTATTTATTTATTTATTAAATAAATATGATATTATTATTACGTCCCCCCCCCTCGCCCGTCAGCCCCGACCAATTCATATCCCACATTCATCTTCTCCACTCTCGTTTCCGATTGATGTTCGGAGGCGGGGTTTTTCGAGAATTTTTACACCTCCGTCCCATCATATTACATTTCATATGCGCGTACACACACAGCGTGAGCTATCACTCTTCCAATTCTCCTGAATTTGATCGATTTTTGCGTGACTATGTGTGCGATTGCACCATTTCTCACCTGTTGTGCGCTGCTTCTGCTTTCAAATGAGCTGTGAGTGTTGTTTACCTATTCCTACCCCTCCCTCTTCCCCGGTAATCATCATCACCTTTTGATTATGCATAATGATCCGACGTATTAAAGGTGACGCGCAACGTAACTGGGTGGCATACCTGATTGTTGACACACACCGGGTTCAGGAAAGGGCGGAAGGGGGGGGGGTAAGGGGAGGGGAGAGAAAGGTGAGGCTTTGATGGGCGGATGGGTTATGCTTCATTAGGCAAATTCGATAGCTTTAGGCCTATTAGGTTGCGCCATCCCGAGAGATTACTTCCAGGGCGTTTGACCTAAACGTTCGCTAGGTTTTGCTTTCGCACTTTCGACCTGTATTAAATTTTCCATAAAATTCGCTTAGCTCGTTTGATCCATGCCTTCTAATATTTTTCCAGTCCTTTACTTTTTACTGGAAATAATTTTTTGCGGCTCTATTCCACTTGTTTTGCGAATATTCCCTTGCTATCTTGATATTTGTGATGTTTGGTGTGTTATGACTTTGACGGACAACTGACACAAATGTGATAGATTTTTATTCTTTCTTTCTTCAACTGCTGCGTTAGCAATAAATCCCCTAACTGTACCGTGAGGACTAGCGAGCATTCGGTATTCGAACACTTTTTCGGGGCTCAAGTGTTCTGGATTTGCCCGAATAGACTTGATCCAGAAATAAGCATGTCCATGCATTCTAACATAAATCCGGATCTAGCTCATCTTTGCATTCGGGGTAAATTTTGCACCTATATAAACGAGCATAATGGATTCGCTTGCATTGCACTGCTCTTCAACTTGCATTCACTCCTCGAAAATGTTAAAAATGATTTTTTAATTTTGTCATATAAATACGCGCATAATTAAGTTTTGTTTAGGTTAAGTTTGTTTTGAAGCCATGTACTTCGATATCCCACTAATTTTTTATTGCTCAGATCACCCCGAAAATCTTGTCCCCTCACCTTCCTCCAAGTCACGAGCCCCTAGTAGTGATTGTTCTGTAGTTACATAACGTTCTTCCAATTCGAGTGTACAACTCCATCTGTCGGTATTGATGACGCAAAAGTACTCAGTTGCGATTGTTCGGTCAACAATAGGGTATGGGGGTGTGTAGGGGTACATGTAAATTGATTTTGATTGGCATTCAAATTCATTTTCATAAAATTCGCTCACACAGCTGCTGTGCCTATCATCTGCTCTTTCTTTGCTTGTATTTTAACTTTGTGTCAATCAAAGTCAAGGATGCTTTTTCTAGCTTTAGAGCTGGCTCAAGTCTATTTTCTAAAATTGTCCATAAAATGAGAAGAACTTATTGGGCTGTAGCACTTGTTTTAAGAGATGAGGAGCATCACATTATAAAGATTTTTTGCATCCCCTTCATGCGCTGTACAAAAGGAAATTCGGAAGGGGAGGAGGGGGGGGGGGAGAGTAGACAGCGCTTTATTCACCGATTGGCCAGAAAATCGAAGAATGTCGTTAACATTTGGTCCGATTGCACTTTTGTAGATGCAGTGCTGCCAGTGTGGTGCAGCTTCGGTAATGACAACACTTGCGCGCGAAAAATTGTTATGGGCACAAAACTTACAATTCGCGCCGTTTCGTCTTTTATTACGCGCTAATGCTGTGAGCATTATAAACGTAGCATTTTTTTACGCCCAAGTGTTGTCATTACCGCAGGGACACTACTTAGCGTCCTATCTATCTAGTTAACCATAAAGTGGGATATGAGGCGTAGTAGATTGCAATTTTTACGCGCAAATATTCTTTTCACCGTAGGGACACATACCAGTCGTGAAGCAGGATTAGCTTGATTTCTCTTCCCCCTCCCCCCCCCCCCCCCAAATTTTTTTCCATCTGTTATGTTGTCAAATGTAATTTACTAATCGATTCGAATACGTGTGTTTGCCTCCGATGACCTTCTCAAATCGCAACCGCTGTACAAACCGCAACGCATGCGCTTATATAGACACAGCTTACCGTATGCGACAGTAGTCATGTGCACAGTCTGTAACAAACATCATACATAAGCTGTACGTTGTGAAGTATCATGCCATTGATTTAGTCATTCTCATTCTCGTTTTTGTTCTCCTTCCTCCCCTCCCCCCTAGAAAATTTCTTTACGGTAGGCAACGGACAGTAATTTGAAAGTTCTTAAGCGCCCGTCTCCAGCTCGGAGCACTTGAAATTCCCATTTTTATTCCCACTTCACATATTTCAAGAGCGCGAAACATGCAATGAATGAAGGCGCATGTCCCCCCCCCTTTCCCTCCGTGGCCCGTAAAAGTGCGTCATTTGATGCATAGTGTGCGAGATTGTATTTGTACAACACGGCACACGAGTTCGTTCGTGACCCTAAAACATCATGCATCTAGTTTCACATCGAAGTGAGGCGTGAGTCTTGCGGCGAACTCGCTTTCTCGGACTCAGTAGAACCTATTTGTCATCGTCAGATCGACTATTCTCACTGAGTTTCCAGTTTCTGACGTCCTCTTGGTTTGTTCACCATGATTTTTTACTACGAAAATTGTTATAATGGCATGTTCATTTTTACCGTGCCCCTTACCGTAATCTAATCAAAATTTTACGGTTGCATTCTTACCGTATCCCAACGTGATCCGCTCAAATTGTACAGCATTCGTATCATATCCCATGCCGTAATAATAGCAAGGTTGTGACAGCAACCTTACCGTATCCCATACCGTAGCCTACTCAAAATGTTACAGTAACATCGTTACCGCATTATGTGTTCTAACCTAACTATAGTCTTTTGCTGTGATTTTTCTTGGTAATTGCTACTCCTTGTTAGATGGTGTGAGAATAGTCCCAGCCAAATCTGCTACAACAACAATTATTAGTTGTTTATGTGTTCGTATACATCGAACTGAGTATCTGTATACAAGAACGCGGGATCCATGAGTTTCCAAAATATCCTGCAACTACTTAGATTCGATACCCTAATTTCACGCGTACAAGGCGCGGGGTGGTCCTAGCTTTCATCGAGCTGCTCAGCCGCCCCAACGTGTTTTAAGAAGCGATCCTTATGCCGCACGATTCGTCAGGCGAAACGCAGCACGGTATGGGGTTCCTTTGGTTGCGAAGTCCTTTGCCGTGTTCGGGCTGGTCGATGAAAGCTAGGACCACCCCGCGTCTTGTACGCGTGAAATTAGGGTAATATGTAGAAAAATATCTATCTGTCAACCCTCTCCATAGATACATCAGAAACAGAAGGAATTTCAATAATTATTCTGAACTGGAGTCGCAAATTAATGAAGTAGTGTACAGGTATAAGTGGATCTCATAAATTTTATTTTTTATAGAAAATGGTAGATCTTTATATCGTCAGTCTTTTTCCCAGAAACTAGTACATTTCTTTCGATAAATTATAGAGTACATTTGATAGCCTTTCTTTTGTATCCGTCGAATCGGAAAGCACATGTTCCAAATCAGCTCCTTGATTTGAATCTCAGAATTATATCAATAAACTATTGATCAGTAATGTATGCCTTGAAAATTATAAAAAAAAATCAATGTTTTGGCAAGCAATCACATCTGCTAAATTATATTCTTTAGGGCAAAACCTTTACAATATAACGGCTGACTGCAATTACTGCGGCCATCTGCGTAGTAGTCTCTGAGAATTGAAGGCATCGAAAAAAAAAAAACTGTGATTTCTGGGTAAAGTTCCCCGTTTCTGATTCAGTATGCTTTGGGCCGCACATAGTTCTACTCATTCAGAAAAAAACCAAACCTCAACGGTGGTCATGGTAGAAGCAAATTTAATAGATCTACAAATTTTCCCCCTTACATCGCCGTGACTCCAAGTACTTCAATCATACCATTTCGACTTGGTTTCACTCTCTGAAATATTAGGAATCGTAAGCAACTTTCTACTCTGTGCATTGAATATTCTAGTGGTTTTTTTTTTCTTGAAATGGTTCCGGTAGTTTTCTGAACAACCCGTTTTCCTCATCTCACTACGCGCAACCGAAACCTACCTCCTTTCACTCGCTACCCAGTCAGTCACTGGTGTCACTCTGATCGCATTAGAATGTTTTTGTTGTGCTGAGTGTTCTCAACACGCTCCAGTAGTAGAGGGGCGAAAACCTGTCCCCATTTGGAAAATTTGTTGTGTGCTGGTCTTTCCCTTGTTATCTGATTTTCTGGTGTTTTATTGTCATCATAGATTTATCTTTAATGATTTTTAGGAAAGCAGCGACTCGGAGCTTGATCCTGATCTCGTTGGTCCGCCATCGAAACGAATTCGTCGTTCAACTAGTGATTTAAGATTCGAAAGGTCCGAAGAAGAAAATCGAAGGAGTGAAAGAAAGAAGGAGAAGAACAGCGATAATTTGAAGAAAATGGAACGGAGGTAAGCCCCCACGAGTTTTTACCCCCGAGATTTGTTTAGTAGCTCGCAAAGAAGATTCGCAGGTAGTTCCCCCTTTCCCCTTAAGATTATTTGCTCACGGTTTCTCACTCTTGATAGTGCAATTGCGGACAAAAATGTTTGCGTAGACTCGAAAAATCAGCTTGGTAAATAAATGGGTGATCAAAGGAGAAGTCTAGACAAGTGGTTGTTATCCTGCACGGAAGACATAGCCAGGTAGTCGATTTAGGAAGCACTCAGAAAATCAATAAAATGATGCTATAAAATCTGAAAAAAAGCTGCCTTTTGGATCATACAATACTTACTTTTGAATTTGAGTATCAGATTTTTCCGAATCTCCAAAAATGTCTGGCTCAATATCTTATTTCAACTTTTCTTTGCCTATTTTAGGGTTGAAATTTTTTACCTATTTTGACACAAAATCATTTTTCCATCTCTACAATGGCAGATTTCTGTCATTATACAATTGTACGATTTTTTTCATCGTATAGCGCATGGTCAGCAGCTTTTTGTGTGGGAAAAATATATGCATAAACAAGTTTTTGTCGCTCTTTAGTACTGTTATTTCGTCCCTCGTAGCAGATCTGATTATAATTTTGTGCGGACAAAAGTAGTACGAAATTATATTTTGTATAGCATTGCTGATAGATTTTTAGTACAAAGCTAATTTTACTTGGAAAAGCAGTATATTAGGTCGTTTCAAAAGTAATTTCGCTTTTTTCAAACGGGCACCACATTTGATGGAACAAAGGTTTCTGAGAGATTTTGGAAGCACTCGATGCAGAATTTCATTCTCTTTCTAATGGTTATGAAAGTTTTGCAAAACAGTCAATGAGCTTTCAGAAAATAACCAAAGTCTGCGACCCATGCTTTTTGCGATAGTCTAGTTTCACAATTTTTTAGAATTTTCACATCAGCCCTCAGAAGAAATCCAAGTAACTGTTCGATAGAGCAAACCACATAGAATGCAAAACTACTTTTTTATCCTTTCCATAGCTTGTCATACATTTTTGACAGAATTTTAACTAATGCTACCCGATTTTCATACTTGGGCAGCTAAATCCCCGTAGAACATCAAAGGAAGAGCAGCTCGGCCACTATTCGACGCAGCATCTTCTCCTCTTTCTAACAGGTGGTTTTTGTTTCCGATTCCTTTAGATTTCGGGGATAAAATGATCACAATTCATTTTTTCAAGGAGCCTCTGTACCTGAAAATCACGAAATTTGATATTTCGAACCCGTAAACCCTCACTTGCTTTGCAAAGTTAGTGCTAACTCATAGTACAGTCTTGGTAGTCTCAAATTCCAAAAAATTATGATGTTTGCTGCGATTGTGGCTGAGGTGGGCCTGCCAAAATCCGATGGCTCTGTTAAAGAATCTTTTAAAAAATAACGGCGAGCTACGAAAAAGAGGAAAAAGTAGCACAGTATTCTATGAGGTTTACTCTATCAAATCTTTACTTGAACTTCTTCTGAGGACTGACATGAAAGTTTTAAAAAATTGTGAAACTTGACCATCTTAAAAAGCATGCGTCGCAAGTTTTGGTTATTTTCTGAAAGCTCATTGATTGTTTTGCAACAATTTCACAACCATTAGAAAGAGAATGAAATTCTGCATCGAATGCTTCCAAGATCTCTCAGAAACCTTTGTTCCATCAAATGTGGTGCCAGCTTGAAAAAAGCGAAATTACTTTTGAAACGACCTAATATTTATGATTTATTCGTGTATTCCACCACTTTTTCGTTACAATGAAAAATGACCGTGAACTAATGAGAAGCTGAACTTCAATTTCAGCTTCGTACTTCTGCATTTAACGATACGGTTGCTAATGAGGAATTAAAGTTATATGTAATTGTGCTCAACAGACAATGTATCGCAGTTGACGAGCTAGGTTACGGTAACTTGTGTGTGCAAATTCATAAATTACATATTTGGCACAATGCCCACTACTGTCAAATTACGGTTGCAAACTCCTTATGTGTAAGATCCAATGCAATAAAAAACTCAAAATAAATAGATAAATAGCCATCTTTGGATTTTGTGACCTTGCTGCAGTCGGTGACACATTCTCACGATTGACGTCTTTCTCAGCTTGCTTTTTCCTATTCTATTTTATGAATCATAGCCGTCAATATAGTGTGGTTTTGCTTTTAAGAAGCTCTAAAGTTTATAGAAACTGCCAGAAATCTAAGAGATCATTCAAGGTCATTCAATGTCCTGTATAGATGAAAATTCTCTAAAGTCTTTGCTTTTTTAAGGCATGTGTAATCGGGCAAGCTGAAACTTTGCTTGCTTTTAAAATTTTCTATATTCTAGTCTTGATTAACACGTTGACGACGGTGTCGCGCAATGGTGCGCGACAGGCAGTCTGTCCCTGTGGACGATGTCGCGCAATGGTGCGCGACACCCTAAACATCAGTTTTAATGTACACAATGGTCCCAATTTGTGTTCATATAATTAAGTTGGGCTCGAAAGTATTTCATGTTGGCCCCGTCCCCTTTTTGGCAAACTCCGCCCACTCCATTGCCCTCTACAAAAAACTTTCTTCGTTCTCAAATCACATAGAGAAGCTCATAGATGATAGGGGAACCTCAAATAATTTTAATTTTGACCCCGCTCCCCGTAATGCAGGCTCCACCCCCTCAGTGTCAAGCTCCGCCCACTTTTCAAAAATGCCGGAATTTGCGCGAATTCATTGATTTTGAGCAATTTCAAGCATTTTTGAGAAGTGGGCGGGGCTTGCCAAAAGTGGGCGGAGCTGCCCCGCCCACTTGAATTTGTGTATCTCACGCATAGATGCATGTATATACATGTGCAGCGTGCTGTGAAAATGCCCGGAAACTGTTCGTCCACAGGGACAGACCTTCAAAAAATGGCTCGTCGTCAACGTGTTAAAAACACGAGATTTTTCCTTAATAAGACATCACATTCATCCCAAATCAGGCATCAAAATATGCTACTGAAAATGTCCAAAATAAATTATTTATTTTTCCTCCAAAGTAAATAGTGAACTCGCTAACTATATTGCAAAAACTAGCCCTTTCTCACATCAGTACGACTTTCCACTTGACTAACTAAACCACTTGCTGGTACTAGTACTTCGCAAGTCCGGTAAATACAGCGCGTGTAAGTGTTAGTCAGCCGAAAAACTATAGAAACTCATGTCTCGAGCGTTGTTTCCACAAGTTCTCTGGGTGTTTCTTTTGTTGAATAGCCAGAAATCGTTGGCTTTTTACAGTGGCACGGACGTGTCGGTGTTCTCCGAGAAATCGCCCGGTGTCGGTCGTAAATGGGATTCCGGAGTGTTAGACATCGGCTATTCAAGCGGTGAAAACTCGCTTTTGGATGCGATCACTGACGGAGATACAAGGTTAGTTTTCACCTTTTTCTATATCTTCTTGATATTTCATTATTTATAGAGTAGAACTAGGAATAAATAAAGGCATAATTTGGGTAAATATCACCGGAAAAATGCGGTTTTACATGCAAAAACAGTCCTCAAAACTTAGGTATTGGATTTTTAGCCGAATTTTTCCTGCCATGATTTTATGAGGATTACCAATTTTACCCTAATCATGAGTTGTTCATTTCTGCAAATTTTAGAGAGGATCGAAGATTTGAAATACGCGCCACTCCTCTATTATCGCAAAATCAGACAATAAACTATGTTGGTCTGGTTTTTTAATCGAATATACTAATTTATTTTTGGCCAACATTTTATGAGTATCATCGGAATTCAGTCATAAGTTGTGAACCATGCTCCAAAATTTGATGAGAAATAAATATCTGATTCTACGGCCCCGCCCTCATCAACGCAAAATAAATCAATAAATCAATAAATTACATTGCTCGACTTTTGCTGGAACTCTAACGCAGAGTTTCCGGAAAATAATTTTAGTTTGACTTATTCATAACTTGTCACATTGTAAATTTGAGTGATGAATAGAAAGCTTAAGGTATAAGCTCCGCCCCCAAAAACGCAAAACAATAAATTATTCAGTTGTTCTAGCTTTAAACAAATAAATTACGTTGTTCTAGCTCCATCCGAATGTAAATTTTTATTTTATGGGGATTGTGAGCTTAACTTGATCAAGCTGTGAGTCATGAATTATGAAAAATAAACAAATGAAGGTACTGGCTCCCCCCCCCCCTAATGGCGCAAAATCAATCAACAAACCACACCTCGTTTTTCTTAGAATTTTTTTACTGCTGATGCTGATCATCAATTTATGTACAATTTGTACATTTTGAATTCGAAAGAGAATTGAAGGTACGAGCTCCATCCCCTTCCCATTCTAGCAAAACCAATAAATAAATTACGTTGTTCCAGTTTTTTTTTCTTACCTCTCCACTTCTACTAACAAGATGATTGTTTGCCTATTGCGTGAAACTTGCGTTGCAGGTGTCCCCTTTTCTTCAAAAAGTGCCCTAAACTACTTTTATACGAATAAACGATGTAATGTCGCTACAAAGAATATAAAAGGCTCATTGTTCCGTGACATGTCCGTAGTCTGTGTGATGTGGTGTAATTGCAGAATTTCGCGCATTACTGTCTCTAATATACCATCTGGATTCTTGTTTTGACTAGAAGAAAACTGTTTCCTTTTTTTTGTTTTTGAATGAGCGGAAATAACGCCTTGTGTACCTTCTAAAGAATAATACAGAGCTGTAAAACAAACTGGTTGGAACAAATTTTCTTGAAATTTTTTACTTGGTGCCAAACACTCAGCAAAAAGTGCCTTGAAAACTGTTATTTTAACAACCGTCACTCAGTCTAATTGGAGCAAGGAATTATTTCTGCGCGGACTCGATGCAGTTCCATCGGTTTTATGTCTGTATGTTACTTGCGATGATTGGAAATGCATTTTATTGGTGTTACGAAGGCAAAATCAAAGGCGAGGTAGATTGGTCCGGGGACCAGTTCTCGCATTCGAGAATATGCTTGTAGTGTGAAATATTCGAAATGTGAGATAGAATACGGTTAAAAAGAAACGATTCGAAATAGAGTTAGCATATCACTTTGCACTCCAGACATACCGTACTCCCTTTGAGCCAACCAATCAGCGCTTTTGGATTCGGTAGGAAATTACGGTCTGGGTCGGAGTTTGTGACTAAACTTTTCAGATGCGATTAAACCATATGAGCTAGCGCTTGGGCAATGGTTTAGTCAATACTTCTTAACCAATACTGCTTATAAATTTCTAAGAATTTCTAGATCTTATCTGTGACCCCGTCCCTCGCTGTTTGTTTTCCTAAACCCCATCATAAACTCCTTTATAGCTTTACAGTGTCAAAACATTCGCGTTATTCTAACAACGTCACTGATGGCATCTCGTCCATCGCTCTGACGACGACAAAACGATCTGTACCGGCTCCTAGTAGTTGTAAACTCTCAACTACCAGTCGTTCACTCCACACCATTTGCGTAATCCGCCGGTGTAGGCGGTGACCGAATGCAGTCGAGTCCAGCTGTGAGCATTGACTTCGCCCATCGACTCGCGTAAAAACTGGTGTTTTCGACTTTTTCTTGTCTCGTCAAGTACACTTTTATCGCTCTAAAGCGGTGCAGGTGCTGCACTTGCTCTTTTGCAGTTTTGAGCGCGAAATTGGCTTGTCAGTTGCTTTGCTGAGTGCTTTCATCGTTGAGCTGCAGTTTGCATGATCTGGGGGAAATACATTCTTATTTTTCCTCCAAATTGTTCTGTCAAATTTTGTTTAAAAAATTATTCTACTTTTTAATCGTTCGTACACATCGTTAGAATGCTCTTCTTGACTCTGCGCTGGAAAAGAGGGGAGGGGAGGGAGAGAAGTTCTGAATAAATTTTTGAACGGTTGGTATCACATTTCAGCATGACAATAACTCTTATTTCTGCTGTTTCTATAAATTTTTATAGTCTATATGAAAAAGTTATCATGTATAGGCGCACAAAGAAATAGCCTACGCTACATGGGAGGAGGAGAAAAAAAGGGGGGGGGTAGGTTTCCTAGAAGTACTTTGGATTGTACATGGATTTGGTGAATGGACTATTAGAGAGTCCTAACTATGTCATTGCCCAAACTGCAGCTCATATGTTTCACTCTTGGCTGAAATATTCAACCCCAAGCTCTCTCCCAGTACCGTATTCCTGAACAGATCATTCAAGTCCGAATACGGTATTGGACAAAACTTTAACGTTGAACTTCTTGGCCTTGATAAAATGATACGGGATGTTTCCCAATCACTAACCGCATAAGAAATAGAGTCACACAGGTTTTTTGTGATTGCCTAGTAATCATTATGATAATTATGAAAAAAATCTTTTGAGAAAAATTTTTTCAACGCCATATGATCTTAATTGACTTGCTGTAAAGAAGCTTATTTTGAAATAATGTTTGTAGGAATGAGTAATTTTTTTCCCGAAACTTTGAGGATTATTTCTAGAAACTTTTATCTCCTCTGGCACCATCTTTCACAACTAAAACCTATTCTATTCTACTTATCTCAACCTCACATCGCGTACTTCACATCATATGTAGCCTTTGCTGTTCAAATTGTTTTCACATTTCGGCACCCGTTACAAAAACATAACAACCGGAAATGCCAAAAAAATGCTTGACAAACGACATTGACTAGTTTCCTTCATGCTCCTTCTTCATCCCCTCATTCGATTGCGTTGAACACCGTAAAAAGAGACACTCTCGCGCAAATAACCTGCTTGGAAACAATTAGTGCAGCATTCTTGGAGATGCAAAGATTCCTAAGAAATTGGAAGTGAACGCTAAGGAATTCAAATGTGGTGTTGTGCAATTTAGCCGAGCGAGAGGTGGGGGGGGGGGGGAGAAAAAAATCTTTCAAGTTCGTTCCTGCAAAATCGTCATTTTTTTTTCATAACGGAGGAATCATTTTCAAAAAATAATCAAAAATATGAGTTATCACTAGTGAACAAAGAATTTTATCGAGTCCACGTTCCCTATTGAATGCCAGCAGATCTATGTGGGCGGAGCTTACCATAAAGTGGGCGGTGTTGGCCAGAAGGGTTGTGGCGCTGAACTGGAGGGCTTGGTTATCCGACTTCACAATTATCCTCAGTCCATATCATGCATGTGTGTATCTAATATATAAAGAATTGTTAGCTTAATTCAAAAATCTTCCAATAGCGGAAAACCGCGGCGGATCCCGAAGCGAACGCTTTCCCAAACAGCATTTTTACTTACAAGGGAAGGATACCAACATTAGTTGCCAACTGAAGATGAGATATATATATATCATTAGATGCGCCTTTGAACGCTGATTCCAAATCTGCTTTCCTTTTCTGCGGAATAAATTTCCGAAAGGAGTTTTGAGCGTTTGAACGTCCAAATTTGCCAGGCTTAAAATCAGCGAAAAAGCTCTAAAACAACACCCATTGGATTTCCACCGGCTTTGTTCCTTCCTTGCAAGCAATATAGTCGATACAAAAATGATTTTCCACTTTCCGGTGTTTTCGTACAGCTTTTCGCCAATTTTAGGTCACCTAAACCTTGAAAAATTTGGACATACATAAGCTCATAACTTCTTTCGGAAACTTATTCCGCAGAAAAGGAAAGCAGATTTGGAATCAGTGGTATCCTTCCCTTGTTAGCTGGTTCACTAGTTAGAAAAACGAATTTCAGGAAGGAATTTCTCAAGACACGGTACTTTTCGTAATAAAGTTCGGGTAAACTGTAAATTCATGCATTCATTCATTCGTTTGTTAATTTCGAATATTTAGAATTTAACATGATATAATGGAGTATAGAAGGGCGAAAAGTTGTAAATTTAATAGGCCTTTTATTAAATTCGTATTAAAATTTTCTGACATTGAGGGTCACTGTCCTTCTTGCGATGATTGCAAAAATTCCGTGGACCACCACTTACCCAACTACTTATAATAATCTTTGCCCTAAAGTGCAAATCTTTTCCCCAACAATTTCGCTCCAATCCATTTCTGAAAGTATGTAATGACACTTAATGATACACTCCTATGCAGGTGCACAAAATATCGTTGCTATGGATCTTTTTCTTTTTTTTCTGCAAATCGATGGATTCTATTTTACACTGAAATGTGAAAGTTTTATGTGCGGATGTGCTTAGCATTATATGCGTTTGCAAACTTGCTGTGCGCAAAAAGTCCGTCGTTTCTTCTAGCAACAATTTTCATGTTCAGCAAAGCGTAAAGATGATTTGCGATCCTGTTCTGGGTCCTTTTTTGGTAGTTCGCAATTTATGGGAAAAGATTGAACTTTACAATTCAGAGAAACAGTTTGAACTTTGGAAAATGTCAATCCAAGGTTTGGAAGTGAAAATTTCCTGTATCTTACTCGCAAAGCTGAAAATATCCATTGAATTTGTGAAACCGTGAAAGATAAAACATGTAATGTACTGCTTTCTGCTCTGCTACAGTATACCTACCGTAATTCGGCCTGAGTTTACTGGCGTAAGATAGCTGTTTGTCAAACGTGGAAATTTTCTTTTCTACAATATTGATGGTGCTAAAGCACCTCGATTCAGTACCACTACCCTTTTTGCTTTGATAATTGCTTATGGTACAACGGTACCGTAAGCAGGCTCCTTTTGCACATGTGGCATATGGTACATGTGCAAAAGGGGTCGGCCTCTATTCCGGATGCTTACGCAAACGCAATGAATATTTTCATGATGAAGGAGGAGATTTTCTTTGAATTTGTTTATACCCTTCTTTGTCACTTTTTGCCCTAGATTGCCGACATCTACAACATTTTGTACGTAATTGCGGACTTGCTAGGCAAGTGTGTGCCTCCGAACTTGTGCAATTTATTTTTGTAAGTTGGGGGGGGGGGACAGGTTGCATGCTTGGCCTGCTACAAATAATGTTGACTAAGCACGAATGTGAGTTGAAACATTTCGTGCAACGAACTCGTTTGCAATGCAAAATTTCTCCATTTTCTTCACAGTATAGATCTAGCCACCAACGGACCTGTTCCTTTTTCAGTATTACCGACATTGAGTCGATGATGCGAAAACGTAGTGATGCGAAGACATCGTCGTCATCGTCTGCAAAACTGAATGAGCTATCCGCTGAGGATGAGGTTGGTGATTTCTAAAAATCAAAGGGTATTTAGTTGTAGGTCTAGCTAAGGATATAGTCAGTGGTGAATAAATCAAAGTGAAATGAAATAAGAAGAAAATAAAAGAAAGCAAAGAAAGGAAAGAAAGGATGAATGAATGAATTTTGATTGAGACTTTTCAATAACTCATAGGATCGTTTATCAAGAGCCCATTCACTCAGTCATCCACTCCTCTCTGTCATTCATTTATCCACTCATCCATCCATTCATTCTCTTTTTCATTCCTTCAGTCGTCATATTGTCATTCATTCATCCACTATTCATTCGTTCGTTCATTTGTTCATTCATCTGTTTATTTATTCATTCATTCAGTATTTCATTCAATCAACCAGTCAATCAATCATTCAATAAATCATTCATCCATTGTTTATCAGATATAGTCATTCAGTCGTATTCGTTTCATTTTCCATTCATTTTGTTCATTTTTCTATTTTTTTCTGAAAATTTATTTTTTTTTCAGGTATTTTTGGAAATAATTTTCATTTTCGACATTTCAAAATTTTATTAATCTTTTATTTCAGCCCAATCATGAGGGTTTCACCGATGTCGATCGGGATCCACTGTCGGATTCAATGCATGTGAATTACGATGCATTAAATGGAAGCTATCCAGAATACGGTGAGTATTAAGTGGGTAGCGGGAAGGAAGGAGGGTGCACAACGGATAGCCTTGGGGGTTTAGTAAATCAGAAAATTCAAGAGCTTTTGTGGTTGCGGCTGTTGAACAAAATGGATTTGTCCTTTTTCTTGCAGAAATTCTTTTTTGAAAAACCTGAAAAATGGTTTGCGCTCTTAAAACTTCAGAAAAAAGACCTGCTAATCGCTGGCTCCACAAAACCTTGGCCTTGGCCGTTTTTCCTTTAGATAATGATCGTTTTGCTTGAACGTACGGACTTATACAGGCAAAAGTGCAAGTTTTTAGCGAAAAGCACCGCCTCCAAAGCGCCATAAACCATCTGAAGACGGCAATCGTTTCAGCGCGTTTCATGCATATTTCGACTATTATTTGCTATCCGTACAGGAATGTTGCCTGGTCATCTTCTTCAAAGTTCTTCTTGCGCTTGTCATGATTCAAGTAAACTATCGGCTGCTTGCGCGCTTTGTGCGTGTAGAATACTCTTTGTTTGGAGTTCCTTTATTGTAGTAACGATGCCTTTCGAAGAAAGTGACTTGTGCTGAAGTGAAGAGATTTTTTAAATTTTTAAAATGATTTTGTGCGAATTTTTGACAAGATTATGATAATTTTACTTGTGAGAAATTGATTTTGGACTAAATCACTTTGACAAGCAAAGGGCTTGAGTCATTGAATCTTCCTTATATCTGCGCTTATTTGAGCGAATTTTCAAACCATTGACGACGATATGGCCCACCGGTGGCCCAAGCAGTTTTTGCCACTAGGTACAATTTGAACCACCTGTGGCCCACACCCGTTGCATAAACATATGCTTTCCAAAGTCAAGTATTTTTCCCACAGCAGAATTTCTTTCCATTTTTTGCATTCTTGGAATCTGTAGACTTCGTGGTTTAAGAAAATGATTGTGGTTGTTTAACAAGTTCATTCGTAAATAATCACACTTCCCCAGACCGAAAATGTTGTGCAAAATCGCGTCGTCCCATAACGCCACCACGCAAATTTAGGCGTCGTCGTCAGTGAGTTAAAAGCGGTCTCGCTCTTAGTAAAGGAAATAATTAAATATAAGCCCCTAAGAACCAATACACACAAAATAAAAGTAAAAAAGTGCTGATTTTGAGAATTTTATTGAATAATTTCATATGTGTATGCTTCAAATTCACCCATAAAAACTCACCAAAGTGGCGAGAATCCCGCACAGAAAAATGCTCGAAATATCATTGCTCAGCTTTTTTGGATTTAAGATTATCCTGACAAAATAAAGCACATCTACAGTAACTCTTAGTTGTCCTATAAGCTCATATTAACGTTTCGATACTTTTAAAAGAAAAAAAGTAAAAAAGTGAAACTCGCCCAAAATATTAGGTTGAACCGAAAGTTCGTTCGCACCATTTTCAAAAAATCATAACTTCTTTTCTTCACGACGATCTTGCGCAATTTAAGCATTATTAGAAAGCGTAAAGCATGTAGTTTCCAATAGTTTCCTGCTAACTTTCCAGCATGTTCAGATTGCAGAGATAAAAATGAAAGAATGAAAACATCCGAAATTCGGAATTTTTGAGAAACAATTCCAAAAATCTAGAAACTGCGCGATAAAATCCAGAAAAGCCATTTTCCTAATTTTTCTTATATTTGATTACTAACTGAGTTAAGTTTGTGCTGATCGAGCTCTTCTTTCAAAAGTTATAATTTTTTGAAAAAAAATGCCGAAAAATCAATTTCTTAGGAATTCTTAGGAAAGTGATTTTTCAAAAAATTTTTTCAAAAAATCATAACTTTTGAAAGAAAAGCTCTATCAGCACAAACTCAACTCAGTTAGTAATCAAATATAAGAAAAATTAGGATAATGGCTTTTCTGGATTTTATCGCGCAGTTTCTAGATTTTTGGAATTGTTTCTCAAAAATTCCGAATTTCGGATGTTTTCGTTCTTTCATTTTTATCTCTGCAATCTGAACATGCTGGAAAGTCGGCAGGGGACCACTGGAAACTGCATGCTTTGCGCTTTCTGATAAAGCTTAAATTGCGCAAAATCGTCGTGAAGGAAAGAAGTTATGATTTTTTGAGCATGGTGCGAACAAACTTTCGGTTCAACCTAATATATCACATATAACTCGATTTTGGTCATAAGTGCATTCTATAGTTATAACGCTTTCTGATGCGTAGAAAAGTTTGAGAATCGAAACAATTTTCCATTTTTCGGCAAAATGTTTTTTTGACTTTTTCAGACACTTTGGAAAAGATAGATATTCTTGTATCAAAACTCTCGGCAGAATCTTAGTTCACCTGAAAATTTAATCAATCTTTGTTCATTGTTTCAAATCATAGTACAGTTTTGCATGAGAATTCTCTTTGTTTGCGAAAAGCCTGTCATTCATATTGTTGACACAGTGGGTTTTTGCAACATTCAGAAGTCTCAATCAGCTTACATTTCTTGCTATTCAATATTTTCCCACTAAGTGATGCTTTCATTTATCAAAGTACTTTCGTAAGCTACTTTAGGATTGATTTATTAGTCAGTTTTCTTCAAAATAAATTTTTAGTATTCAAATATTTTGTCGCTAATTTAGATTTTCATGTTAAAATTGCAAACTTTCAACTGACTTGAGGTCGAATCAATAAATAGCGATATATAGGGTACTTCAAAAAAATGTGCCTATTGTTTGATTGTCAATAACGTTCTTGTAATGAAGTTTTTCGAAAAGCTTCAGGTATCATTTTGTAGAGCTGATTTTACCTTAAATTTACAGTATAGAATGAATCATCGATCCCTCTTCATTACTGTAGGATTACGGTAGAAACTTTTCAAGGGGGTTTTGAGCCATGAATGGCCATATTTTGCTTCAGGGAGGAAATGAAACAGCCTGAAAACTTTTACACTGGGCTTATTAGAGTTGCTGATTCCAAACTGAAGTTCCCAACTTATCATGATGCTTCCTCAAAAAGTTATGCGAGGTAAGCAATAGCGGCGGGTTTTTTTAATGTTCCTAAAAGTGCGGTTACACCATTTAGAAAGCTTAATCTTGGTCATGATAGAGTATTGAACTCAGCGTCCACGAATACTTTATTACGCAAGTTTTCACATTTTTTTTGAAAAATTTTGAAACGGCAGCTATTTTCACAAAGACACCATATAGTTGAAGTTTCTACCGTAATCTTCATTAATAAAGAGCGATCGGTGATTCGCTCTATACTTTAAATCTAAGTTGAAACCAGCTCTACAGAAGGGTACTCAAAGCTTCTCGAAAGACTTCCTTACTAGAGAGTTACTGGCGATCAAACAGTACACAACATCTCCCGATCGATTGCAAGGATATTGTAGCAATTTAGGAAACATCTGAAACGGGAACTCTTATTGAATAAAGCTTATACTGCGGAGACTCTTGTTTCAAAGAAAAAATGTCATGATCCCTTAATATAAATGGAATATTATAACCCTTCAAAAAAATGTTGATTTAACAAAGCTAGAATTGTGTGGGTATAGCTTATGAAATTTTCATTATTTGATTTGTTTGATATCGACAAAAGTGGAGCTTACTCACTTGCTCGGCAGTGGTATATGCTCCAATTTTTGTCGAATAGTTCCCGTTTCAAAGGATTGTGAAAATTTGGGTTGAGTGGGAATGGCAGTCGTTGCAGGGCCCGGCGGGGGTGGCGCTTTCACAAGCTAGATATCGTTTTTGGCCCGAAAAAGCAAAGGGAAAGTACGACTCCCCCTTGTTTACCGATAAACAATGCACAAATCATTCTTTATTCATCATTCCTTGTTGATGCTACTGTCCTATGAACTTAGTTCCAGCAATGTGAAGATTCTGTGCTCCGATCGCTAGCCTGCCCGCAGGCGGGAATTCAAATCGCAATTCTTTTAAGAGGAAAATAACAAAATAGGCTCGTTTTCAATGCACAAGTAACGATATGGCACCAAATTTGCTGTGTAGTTGGAGGACCATGAGCACAAAAAAAGTATGAAGCATTATGAAAAACTTCTGTGAATTTAAAAAATGGTAAGTGTTTTTCGAAATTAGGTGGCTCCCGCGCCACCTGGGAGCCACCTGGGGTGGTTCCCTGCTTCCCTTCACATAATTTCCCCGATTTCTTTACATAAATGTGGACTAGGTCGTGAGTATTACTATATGTTCAAATCCGCTTCCAAAACCACCAAGGCACCGCTTCGATACAGCCCCAAATAGGGTTCACAGCGTTATGATCGGCCTCGGAAAGCGCGCTCCAATGGCAATCGCTTATTGTAAATTGTAAAGTTTCGCAGCTGACTAATAAATGAGTAGTATCTTAGATAAATAAACGTCAAAGTTTGTGCAAATCTTGACCCTATGTTTTTTTTATAGATTCCTTTGCGGATGAACCCATTGAGTTGAAACCTTGATGACCCGGGCTGGACAAGGAAAGCCAGGTAGTACTACTATAATAAGCGCTGAGGCCGCCCATCTTATTATTTGTGTACATCTGTTTGTCAGGGACTTACGGGGTCAAAAATAGGGTCAAAGGGGAAGTCGTAAGAAATTTTGGCTTCAAAGAGGATATCGTTTTCAAAATTCTGAAATGCCACCTCCTGCCGGGCCCTGAGTCGTTGAATTGGACTCGAGGATTCAGGTTTTTTTTTTTGAGAGAAAGTTTCATGTTGAGATTTTTTTCAGTTCTATATGCATTGGCCACTTTCAATGAAACAAGTCGTGAAGTAAGAAAATACTCAAAAAATTCAATTTCTTGCCAAGCAAACAGCACAATTTTTCTTATCAGTAAGGTTAGATTATGAGACCAAAACCGAAACTAGAATCAGACTCGAACAGACCTTAATGCATTTCAAAGATCGATACTACGAAAAATATGGCTTGAGGGCCTTCCTTTCTTAGCTTGTATTGCAGCAGTGTTTCAGTAATGAATTTTAGGATTGCTAGACATGCGAGATCATGTCTTTTCAAAATAAATTGAAAAAAATTTACTGAAAGCGGGAAATTAGCAATTTTTCAACGGGGAAAAAAATCTTGTAGACAACTTAGACTAGACTTACTCAATTTCAATAAAAGCTTATCCTAGTTTTTACCAAGTATTTCCGTGCTGAACCAGACTGACCAAATAATTTCAATAACAATACTATTAGGTTGTCCGGAAATTAATGCCCGTTTTAAATTCCAACCGCGCTAAGTCATACACTTCTCATCTCTAAATGGGTTGCAAAGTACCATTCGATAGAGCAAAGCAAGCTCTACAAGATGGCCATCTTGCTTTTGCAACAGCTTTGATCCATCTCGAGTTTCGTGCCAAAAACTAAAAAGACTCAGCAGCCCGAAAAATCGAAAAAAATCGTAACTCATTTCATAAAAATTCTACAAAATTCTAATTTGCTCGCGTAAACACTATCCACATAAAACATCAATATACGCCGTTGCCGTATTTTTTCTCTGTTAGAAACCAAGAAAACGGAAATTTTCGTGCATTTGCCAAAGTGATGCTGTGCCGTTCTCACATGAATAGTTGTATACCACAAGCCTGAAAAAGTCCACACTCAAATGTTCAGCTCTCTACAAGCTTTAGTTCTCGAGAAATTTGAATTTTAGCTTGGACCACTTAAGCAAGGAAAGCTATATTCGGTATTTCTTGAGAACTAAAGCTTGTAGAGAGCTGGAAATTTAAGTCTGTACTTCTACAGACTTGTGGTATACAACTACCTATGCGGGGACGGCACAGCATCACTTTGGCAAATGCACGAAAATTTCCGTTTTCTCGGTTTCTAACAGAAAAAAAAATACGGCAACGGCGTATATTGATGTCTTATGTGGATAGTGTTTACGCGAGCAAATTAGAATTTTTGTAGGATTTTTATGAACTGAGTTACGATTTTTTTCGATTTTTCGGACTGGTGAGTCTTTTTAGTTTTTGGCTCGAAACTCGAGATGGATCAAAGCTGTTGCAAAAGCAAGATGGCCATCTTGTAGAGCTTGCTTTGCTCTATCGAAGGGTACTTTGCAACCCATTTAGAGATGAGAAGTATATGACTTAGCGCGGTTGGAATTTAAAACGGGCATTAATTTCCGGACAACCTAATACTTTCCCAAATCTTTCTTCTTCCAAAAAAAAATCTGTTTATCAATTATTTCCCGTTTCAAACTATGCTGTTTTACCGGACATTTTCCGTTTCAAACGATATTGTTTGCCATACATTAGCCGTTTCATACAAAACAGTCCAACCGAATAAATCTTTTTTTGAACAGCAGCAAGTATTTTTTAGTCATACTGTCCTGCCAAATATTCCCCGTTTCAAAGGTTAATGAAATTCTACGTTGTGAGGTTTTTCGTGGTAATTCAGCGTTTCCATCAGGGTTCACGAGGTGACTTTCCGAAAATGCGAAGAACGAAGAATTCCTGACTTTCGTACTTTCTTGACTTTTGCACATTCCCCTTTGCCTAAGCCCTAAACGTAAAAAAGCTTCAAAAAACGAAACGTCGACTAAAAACATCGTATTTCTCGGACTCGAAAACAATTTCCTCTTTGCTTTTTGTCTCAAAAACGATATCCAGCTTGCTTATAAGCTACCTATGCCGAACCGTGACTCCGATTGAAGGTTAGTGTGCCATTACGAACGCCATGCGATGCGGCATGCGGTGTTATCAATACTCTAAGCGTTTCTGTAAACTGTCGCTGTTAAAAGGCGACGCTCATTCGGTCTCCACATACACGCTAGAATCAACAAAGCAACGTTGCCAATGGGTTTCATGAAGTTTCGGCGCGGGAGGGGGGGGGGGGGGGAGGAGGAGAAGGGGCACCGCTTGAATAGTCGTGTATCTGTGTGCGTAATTTCGATTTCTAGCGTATTAATTTTTTTTTACTTTTTTGGAGTAAGGCGGTGATGTTTTAGCCACATCTTATTTTTCATTCGGGACCTATGAACAAACTTATTTGCTTAATCCAATATTACCGTTTTCTAAAACATCGTGTCCCCCCGCCCCTTCCCGCCCTTCTTATCTTCTGATTCATGTTCCGCTTTCGATGGATTTTTATGTGCTATAAAAATCAATAATTTCCCCCAACGTTTGATTTAATGCGCCACTTTTCCAACGCGATGTTCATGCAAATTCATATCGATAGAATTCTTACGGCATCAGTGAAGAGCGTAAATGTTGTCCGATCGTCCGTTTTTACTTTCCGTTTAGGGTGTTTAGAGCCTTCTTTTTTTTGTAGGATTTCTATCACATTTCTCGCTGAACCCACACCAATTATTGCTAGTTTTAAAGATTATTGAAGTTATCCAAATTGAAGTTCCAGTTAAATAATCAGTTAGTTGATCCCATTTTAAATTTTGAATCCAGTTAGAATGTACTCTGCCGTTTGAGGTTGCCATCGTAGACAACTGCTGCTTTTCTTTTTGCAATGCTGTTGCATATCGTTTGAGGACCAGTAGTCCGCAGAGGCGTCCCAAAATAGCGAAGTTCGTCTCCTACCTCTTTTTGATTTTTACATTCTATCTTCTGCAAGTATTCAAACAGATCTATCCGTCAATAGAAGGTGGAATCAGTGCACAAAATTTTTTTTTGGACCTGCTCGGTCTGGAACGTGCTTTCGACGCAAATCATTGCTTTTAAACGCAACATAAATCATTTGTTGCACATAAAATTCTTCTCTTGCGCATTGATTGCATTTTCCAATGAAATTCCCAAGAAACTTGTCCGTATATATAAAAAACGAGAATTCTGATTTCTTGAATTCAGTACTTGTAACTCGACTCGCTGTCCTCCCCATTTGGACCAAGCACTTCTCTTCTGGATTTTTTGGGCTTCAAATTTCAATGTTTCTGAGGTTTTTTTGTTACCTTAAGATGATAGTTTACTCGCTTTGTAGTAGTACAGGTATTGTTTTGTCCGCACTTTACATCTCCTTCAATTTATTAAAATTGAGTAATTTTTTGAAAACTTCCTTTTGCACCCCCCCCCGCCCTTTCTCCTAGGGGAGGTTCTTCATCCCTCCATTTCTCCCACAAACTTCAATAATTCTTTGTTTAGACGAAGTGATGGCACTGTTGGATGATGGTACGAACTTGACGCCAACCCATATGACAGACAGTTTCAACACAAAATGGCGCGAAATTGGCGCACATGCGGAGAAAGCGCGTCGACGCCGAGCACGAGATGAAGAGGAGGAGGCTAAGGTTCGTATTTTTGACGTAATGGCAAGCTGAACTTTTGAGAAGAAATTGGCGGATAGTCCCGCCCCTCTGGCAAACTCCGCCCCTTTCGTTGCCTTCAGAAGCCTTTTCCTATGAGCAGTGACAAGGGTCGTTACGTCATTTTGCATCTCTTTTTTCCGAATGTTTCAGGATGCCTTTTCGTCAAGTAACTCAGAAATTTAATAGAAAAAAAAAAGACTAGATCTCTGCCTAGTAAAGCACCAAGGTCTCAGGTATGGTAGGCAACGGTTCAGACTCCTTTTTGACAAAGCAGTATAAACAACGATTCCTGACTTAGTCATTCTTGTAACAATGTCAAAGTCGAATTCCCGCATATAGTTCAAGATGAACAACCTAGATAAAGTGGTACCCCTGATGGAATTTTTTCAAATTCCGCTAACTATTATAGTTCTCGTCCCCATTCCCTTCATCATTCATCTGATAGGTTTATGACCTAATCTTCACCCCTCGTGCCTTTCTATAGAGTGTTTATTGACTTTATTGACTGTTTGACTCGTTTCTACTCCATTAATCGCATTTTTTATAGCATTCATGCGATGCATCATCTGAAGATTCATCAGATTGGGAATCACGAGACGATCGACTCATGAACAGGTGTGTGTTTCGGCTTTTTGTTTGCACTTCTTCTTCCTTTTCTTCATTTTTTTATTCGCACTGGGCAAACTGGCCAGATGATCACTGAACTTTTTGTACACGCTCAAAGCTGCTGTACCCCTTGGCAAACAGATCTAGAGATTTCGATGTCAACAAAACCGATTAGAGCATGGAATCTTCTGTTAGACTGGTATTTCTGTTAGGGGTGGGGAGAGAAAAGTATCTGTTGAGCTATTTGTGTTATCAGAATTCTCTCTAAGCTTTGTATTTTTTACCAATTCTACAAAAACCTTTGGTAGGGACTAAGCAAAGTCCGTGTTTAAAAACTGGATTTGAAAAAAAATTGATTTGAGGAAAGAATTTGCATTGGCTTTTTCTTGGATAAATATTCCTTTCAGTGGCGATTCCGATGATGTTTTAATTTTTTTCGGGAATTAGGGGAAGGGGGGAGGGGCGGACAAAAATCTTTGAATGTGAGTGTCATAAGCTACTTCCTGCGCGTAAATTTCTCAGGGATGCTCTCAACTTTTTAGCCAAAAGAAGTGAAAATGAGGTGGGCATCGTCTCCGGGTTTTTTTTTTCGAACAAAATATTTTTTTTATTCATCACAACTTTTTTTGCTGAAATGGGAAAGCGTTTGTAGAATTTCGGAACACACGTGGACGACTCTCAAAATATTGAGATCCACTGGGGATTGGGGGGGGGGAGGAAGTCAGATGCATTGTATCAAATACTTTGAAGGTCCATTTTGATTTTACGAACGAATATTTTCCTTTATTTAAACAGTATCTGTATCATAAATGGCCTTAGATTTACTCTAAATTTTTCCGTTTCAATGTGGTTACATATACTTTCACAGAAAGCTGAATTTGTTCGCGTTATCAAGAGAACCTGATGACTGGTTTTTTACCCTTTCTTATTCTGCTAGTCATTTACATTCTTGGCACATCGCCAAATGGACACAACCATTCTTTGTTTGCATAAAATTCATGCCACCCCTTCCCCCTTCCCCGCTCTCCTCCCCACAAACTATCGCGATTTTTGTCACGAAAATCGTTCAAGTGTCGGCACTTTATAGGTCGTTCAACGATTTTGGCGGCTGCGGTTCATTGCCAGGCGCACGAATCGATCCGAAATCGTCTAGTTTTTTGGTAAGTAATCTGGTCCCTCGTTGAGGCTTTATAGCAGAGCGAAATCGGCCTTCATTGTTCAGCTGGATTCGTCGCCGTTGGACGCTTCGTTTTGCTCGACGAGGTCTGAGCTGACCCATGGTCAGTGTAGGACAAGGAAAAGGTTGAGAGTAAGACGTTTACCACGAAGTATGAGCGATGGCGAGCAGTTGATTGTAAAATCTGGTGAGTCTTACACATTTTTTGGAGCTACAGTATGGCTACCATAATCAATCATCCAATCAGGAGCGTACACCCCTCTGATTCGTCAATCGCCACCGTCAACGCCACTTGCGCGATCGACCCGATTGCTTCAAAAGTTGGATCGAGACCTTTTAGACAATGTCGAAAGCGACACAGCTCCAGAACAGTCCGATACCCAAGTGTATGAATGGGACGAGTACAATGTGAGTTTCTTTTTGAGTATTGGGGACCTATTCTCGTCAATTGCGAGAGGAATTTTGGACTTGATTAGTTGTTATTTTTATCTTTTCTTTATCTTGTACGATAATAAAATGATGCTCAAAAAATTGTGAAAAAGTATAGTATAAAGTATAAAGTATAAATTTCGATAGTATAAATTTCTGGAGTACAATAAGGCCGATAGGCTCCTCCCGCGCGGATAGCTGGTACGAGCTATAATACATAAAGCCGCGTATTTGTTTCAGTTGCCCAGTGGGGCCTCCCTTTCGGGCGATCTAATGTCCTCTATCCAAATTTTTACTACGATTTTTTTCCCAATCTTATGTCCTTGTAATGCTGAACTATTTCCATAACAGACTTTTTATCTCAAAAAACCATAAATTTTAGGGGAAAAGAAGGCCACCTGTCCCCCTCTTGTTTTGACTTTTTTTTTGATATTTTGAAGTATGTTTTGGAAGAATGATGACGATTCTTACCGCAATCATCGCTATTTCAATAATTTTCCTGCTGGATATGAGAGCATCAATTGTCGACCTATCAATCATACCTTCCCATTCTGATGATGAAATATAGGACAGTGGATAAAGTGCAGAATTTTGTACTTTGCGCCATATTTGCCCAGGCATCATCATAAACTGCGTGGAATTCTGCTGTGCGCACTGGATAGTTTCGTTCATGAGCAATTTTTCTCTTAGTTGGATATTTACTTAGTTTTTCTACCAAGTCTGAGTTATGGATGGTGGTCTTAAATTGCCAAGTTAGCATCAAGCTGATTTTTCATGGCTCATTCATCTTCTATTTATAGACGTTTCCAAATTTGCTAGATGTATATGCAGATGTTGAAAAGTGTTCAGTAAGTAGTACGATGGCTCATAGAAGCATGTGCCACCATGTGACAGCGTTAAGTGCAGAAAACTGCAAAAAAATCTTTTTTTAAGGACTGCAGTAGGAGAGTCGCAATACTAGAAATTTTTTCGCTTCAGTTGCGTACTCTTTTACGCTTTTGAGAAGCTTCTTTTTGTTTCACGTAACTGTAAATTGTAATTAATTAAATATATCTGTACTGCGCAAAAAGCACTTTATCCCACGATTTGAACGCAGTTTTATCATAGAAAATTTCCTTTTATTTTATTCAAGTGCGCGCGTAAGGAATAGCTGCAAAACAAGTGCAGGTAATCATCAGGACTCAATTTCATTTTGCTGAATTTACCGCCTTCGCAGTTTAAAGTCGTCGGATCCCGCATGTTGTGTGTGCAGATACACATTTTGAGAAGTAAAGACTTGGCTATAGAAATTGTGGGCTAAGGTTATTGGTATAAAGAAAAGCTTGGTTTGTTGAAGTGGTCCAGCAGATAAAATCATAATCCATCGCAATTTTTTTTTGAAACTTTTCTAGTGAACCAGTAATTAAAGGTGCTAGGTTGCATCCGCGCGCTTCGGGACCACCACGCGGTTTCCCGCTATTCGCACATTTTTGAATTGCGCTCACGTTTCTTTATACAGAGTGTCCCAAAAAGATGTGCACACTGTTTGATGGTTAATAACTCTCTTGCTTTCAGGTTTTTTGCCGAATTCAAGGTACCATTCTGTAGAGCGAGGTTCAACTTAGATTTGCAGAGTGGAGCAAATCACCAATCACTTTTCATTACTGTAGGATTACGGTATGAACTTCCAACATACAGCGTCACTGTGGAATAGGCCTTGCGATAAGAAAATTTCAAAAAAATCTGAAAATCTGTGTATTATGGTTTTCAGGCGTTCTGATTTCAGTACATAACTTTTCATCAATTTTTCGAACTTTCTTGCTTGTGTATTCACATTTTTGAGCGACATTGGGAAAACAGTTTTTACTCTAAATCTGAAATAACTTATGAAAGAAGCACTGTACTAAATCGCAAACTTCATATATAGAATCAGCACCTTCAATTAGCCCAGTTTGAGAGTTTCTGGCTTGTTTGGCTTTCTTTCTGAGGCAAATTGCGCCCTTCAATGGCCTAAAACCCTCTTCGAAGTTCCTACCGTAATCCTACAGTAATGAAGAGCGATCGATGATTCGCTCCATCCTGCAAATCTAAGTTGAACCTCGCTCTATAGAATGGTACTTTAAGCTCGACAAAAGACACGAAAGCAAGAGAGTTATTAACGATCAAACAGTGTGCACATCTTTTTGGGACACCCTGTATATTAGATAACCTCAAAGAGCGGGAATGAAGAGGGGGGGGGGGTTGTGGAGGGGAAGATTTTGAGTTATATAAATGAAATAATTAAGTTTTTATCTGTTATGTCTATAGTTTGCAAAATTTTTTACCATATATGCCTACCAATCTATTTTTCGGGCTTAGCTTTTCTTGGCTTTCAAATGCATGTCTTCTCTGGAACTTAACTATTGAAGAAGCGGTTAAGAATCGTTTCTTTACCTTTCCTCCCCCCCCCCCTCCTTTCTCCATTTATGACTGAGAAAATGTCGTGATAGTTGTTCCTGACGTGTATATGTTCATGATTTATCCAAAACACCACTTCTTCCTTACAATCCCAACAAAGCTGCATTCAAAACTTGATAGTCTTGCGTCCTTAGACCAAGAACATCATTCATACTTTCCCACTGCTGTATCTAAACTTTACAGCTATCTGATAAGTTATTGCGCCAAAGAACAGCATCTCTCAGGCATTCCTATCACGATTGCCCTTTGTGTTCTCAGTTTAGGGAAGCTATAAGCATAAGAACATGCCATCGTTCTAGCGATGAACGCGATTAAATGGGCTGGTTCACGCGCTGATACATACATGAATGTGACTGGTTTTGGCATATTGTGGGGCTGTTTTATGCGCGCAGCAATCTTCGTCTGCATTTGCGGCATTTGCTTGCCGCTGCAGTTACAGTAGTTGAAATTATAGCTTTTGCTTGACGCGATGTTCTTTTCTTGTGTCTATTCTGCGCGAAAACGGGGTTTGGCCTCTCCTAATTTTTATGAGGGGTTTTTTGGGGGGGGGGGGGGGGGGTATTGGGAAGGCAAGTAGTGTCAAGGGAATCGTTTTGTCCCTCTGCTTGCTTGTAAACTGCGAAAATTCCATAAAATGCATGTCTTTAGCCTTTCCTGGATTTTTTCAATTTTTTGCCGTTTCGTCAACTATATAAATAGCGCACAAAATCGAGCTCAACTGTTAGTTCACTCAGATTTCACTTGAGTGTTTTTCCAAATCAGTTCTTTTCTTTCTCGTCCGTACTGTTCAAATATGTTTCTGTTTTTGTCCCTAAACAACAGCTTTTTCATGGCATGCAAATCTTTCTATTTTTAGACGGCTGTGTGCGACACTGTAGTCAAAAGCCAAAAATTACTTATGCGCATCTTTATGGCAGCTTTTCCCACTGTTACCGCTTGCTTATGTCAATCCCTTTTGGAAAAATCCATTTTATTATATGTTTATAGGTGCTAGTCATATAGAATGTTTTACAACTTGGAATCCCTTGTTGGGATTTGAAGGTAGTTGTCTTTCCTATCGAGAGGGGGGGGGGGAGTTTAGACCTTTCGAATAAAGCAGCAAGCAATTTTTTTTAATAAATACTTCCTTTTTCCAATACTTGATCTTTAAATGAACCTAATTTTCGTGATTCTGTACTTTAATTTGCTGAAATTTTGCTCTACAGCCCAAGATTGTTACCGATTAGTAAAGATTGCTAACCTGTGCAGCAGTCGCCCATACACAGTTGAGAATTTCTTACTAGTTTGTGCAATTGCGCAGTTTTGAAACCGAGTATACTCGAGGCTATAGCCGAACAGAACCTAGATATTGTTTTCTTTGCGTTTTTTCTTGGTTCTTTTTGTTGACACATAATTGTTTAATGGAGAGAAGTGATTGATTATTTGTCACATCTTCATACCTGAGAGCTGCGTTCCATCGCCAATGTCCTGAAAATTGTGCAATTGCACACATTATCAAGGATACCTCCTCCTAACAAAGCTTACCTGAGTTTAGAATGTAGTAATTAGAGAATGGAGTGCTAATCAATGTGTTCGATGAAAAAAATTGTTTTCTCTGCTAATAAATCCCGTGCAAGATTTTTTCTTCTACTGGCAATATTTTCTCTGATAAGAGCGACTGTTATTTTTTTTTGTAGCGATTCGTTACATTACAGTTCCGTTGTCATCGGCTCAAGATTCATTGAACATTATTTTTTGCTGTCTTGATTCATTCGTCTTAACTTCCAAAACTATATCTGCAGACAGTGAAATCAATTAGTCGAATACGAGTTTTTGTTTGCAAAAATTCGAAAAAATACATGTGTTTCTTTTTTTCGAAAGTCCAATTTTTTTTTACCGTTTCAGCAACTATTGATAGATATTTGAGCACTCTCCCAGTGATCTATTCTTGACAAGGAGGAAATCATTCTCCATTCATATCTATCCTGGTTGCTAGGATACATTTGTTAAATTGTTGCCTAAGCTCTCATGCAGTCCTAATTGAGCACCATTTTTTTGCGGAGTGAAGTGGCTGTGTCCATATGGAAGTACTCATTTTTTTCTTGACTTCTCGCAACAATAATTCATTGAAAAAAGAATTTCCAAATCATTGCTACATTTATTTATTTCTTATCGATTGATTCCACTGCTCGGGAGATATCAACAAGCTTTTTCGCACATTATCTTCAGACATTGGAACGGGAATTTTGCTCTCCAACAGAAAAAAAGGATTTTTCTTATTTCCTTAACGAGGAAATCGAAATAGACTCCAAATCAAAAACTACTATTTGAAACACAATACAAAGTAGATGTCTAAACTTTGGCCTACCATCGCCTAGTTACTATTTCGTTGTGAATATGTACGTCTTCGACTTACGAAGTTGAAAATATGAGTTATACTTGGAAATGGACATTTTGCACCGCTACAGTATGCTAATAACTTCACACGCGCGTTGACCGCAGCATAAGCGCAGTTTACGCGGCATTGCACATAGTGAATACTTCTCATATTGGAATCATTGATTGGTCAAAAAGCGCATTATCACTTTTTCTTTTTTTAATAATGTGCGAGATTAGCGTACCACATACTTAGCGGCGTCAAAGTGTCTAAACCAAATTTGGCATCTTCTGATTTTGGGTTTTTCTGTTTAATTCAATGTAACCTTTGTTTTTTGCTGAGAACTTCAAACGAAGCTGCGTAATTGAACCTGCAGCGCACATTTCGTCATAATTTGATTTTGAATTATAAAACATTAGCTCAAAATCCTTCATAGCTTTGTACATCATAAGGCACGGTGTATCTAAATGTTTCCCTCGGCACCTAACAATAAAGCCCCGCTTTCAGTGCAATATCGACTTGCAACCCGTCATTATGAATATCTCATGTGAACATTTGTGCCAGTTGACCGGCGGCGCCCGGTCATTGCGCTGCTATGGCAACTCGGGAGGTGACCCCTTTGTCAAGCCCTCGTATCCATCTGTCACTAGGATAATAATGAGTCGGCCGACTATGACCTTATGCGGTGTTTGAGGACAAATTTGTGGCTTTGTGATGGTTATTGCTGTTATTGGAGTTTTGTGCTAGTTGTCCACTGTCGCGTACTATCTATCCTTCACTCTATTCATTCAATTTTAATTATACAACCTTAAATTTGCAATTTTGTGTTTTGGGAAGCTATACCAACCGTCCTATATTTAGATCTCGCGTTAAACATGCTCCCAATCGGGCGCTCATACCTGATCAGGTCACGCTCCCGATCTGGACATCGGGCAACTGATACATATCGCCATTGAAAGATATATCTTGTTATAGCTGAAGTCCAAATTAAATTCAAACGTCCTTCCTTCCCCCCCCCCCCTTCCCCCGTTCGCTTCATTTTATTGTTTATCCAACTGCTGTAATAGATGTATAGGACAAGCTGAACTTATGAAAAATGTCAGCTGAGCCGACATCTGTGCAACTATACAAGGCCAAAGCAAACATTAGGGCCCCTTTGCGTACTATTTGAACACTGCTGGCATCCGCGCGAGCATCCCGTTAAATACTTCATTTGATCGTTGCCTACGTGTGCACCCCCTGTTGCCATTATCGTGAAAAGCATGCACTTTATTTCCCGTTTTTTTGGAGGGAGAGGGAGAGGGGGGGGGTGATGTTAAAGGGATAGAGTTGCATTGCATGTTGGGGATGTTTGAATGTATACGAGATCATCATTTAGAACATTTTGAATCATAATTTTCACTTCAGCTTATTGCTTGCTACAAAAAAAAATGATTTTTGCTTTTGTATTTCAAAATAGTGCAAATTTCCGTTTAGTTTTATCTGATTAATCAATTATGATTATCGTGAAATCAATGCGCTTATAATTTATGGTCTCGATGATTTGCTTTTCTCCATCATCACCAAAATAATTTTTAATCTGAAAAACTGCAGTGATAAAGTCAGAATTTAAATTTGTTGTTTTTTAAGACTGCTTAAGACTTCATGCTTTGAGTATAAAAACTGTAGCAGACTTTGAGCATTCTCATATAATCAGTTATCAATTCTCAGCAAATTTTTTATTATTATTGTGATTGTCACAAATGCCAGTGTTATCATTTTTACGTGCTCCATGCAAAATGCTAAAAGTTTGCACAAATTCATAATAAGGCTAATATCTGCAGCTAATTAGCTAATTCACGATCGTACATACGTGTGTGAGCACGTTTGAATAAATAAATAAATAAATAAAATTTACCCGTTATTGAGTATTGCTATTTCTTATTAGCTAGAAAAAAAACAGTGCCGGCGGTTTTTCTTTGATTTCACGCTCTTCTGCACAGAGAGAGTCGTCGATCGCAACCTAGATATGGGACTAGACGGATTACGTTTGCTATCAGCTACTTAGGACTTCTACCATTTATTGATTTTTACCTCTATTCTTGTCAATTTTAGATTTTTGAATTTGTGAAAAGTGGGCTTATGTTGACATGCTTTTTTCTAAATTTGGCTTTCTTCTAGCACTTTTTCATTTCAGCCTCCAGCTAAGGACGACTCAATGAATGCACCTCCTTCTCCATTAAGTCCTACCGTTCCTGAAGAAATCCTTGAAATTGATGAGGACTTTTCCGAACATTTCGATGCCTGGGTGAGTTTTCATATTCTTTATTCATCTTTCTCGATTTTAGTTGATGTTTTGAAAAAATGAAAATGTGATTTTTCAGGACTCCCTTCGGCGTCTTGTAGCCGAAAGTCGAGCGCATCTACGAGTTGTTGAGAAGAGCATCAACAGTGGTGAAGTCGATCAAGCGCAATTGGTAAGGTCCTTTTCCCTGAATTTTTTTTGGCTCAGTGCCAAGAGTACGCTTGCTCTCCAAAATGGAGGGCCTAATTATCGTAATTGGAGTGAAAAGGTAGCTGATGGATTAGGAGTAGGTGCGTAATTAATCCAAAGGGATGACCTGCCAAATCATAGGGTAGTTAATGTAAAGATTACAGCCATCTGCATTCGGTCGTTTTTCAAAAATCAAAAAATCCAATCGTATCTTAGTAATGTGGTTAGCAAAAAATATTTTTTGTATGGGCAATTATTTTACCTTATGTGAGTGAGACCATAGACTTTATTCCACCCTTAGTCAAGTTACCTCACCCTGCGGTATATCAGCTAGGAAGCCCCGCCCATTTTGCCCCTCTTACGGGTTTGGAAAGTGTAAACTATACGATGTCCAAATGAAATGACCCTATGACACAATTTGTTCATTATTGCCTTGAAATTTCATACCTGCTTCTGAATATTTGTTTTTTTTTGAAAATTGCACGGACCTTGACCTTCCAGCATTCACGTTCTAATCTATCATTTTTTTAAGGAAAATGTCCAAATGATCGCTCGTGCCAACTTGCGCCAATTGGACACCGTCCTTCGTATGTCCGGTGGGCAAAAAGAAGACGTCGAAGGATTACGTGAACAGTGGAAATTGCTCTCAGAGCAAGCCGCATCACCAATTCCTCAGCTGCTAAGCAAGGTTTGTGATTTTTCGCGTGTGTTTGTTTACTTCTGCTGTAATTTTACTGATTTTTGTGATTTTTAGGTGGAATGTTTCGCAAATTCATTGCGAGATCTACATGAAACCTCATCGGCTTCATCATTGAGTGCGATGACGGATATCAAGTCAAAAGAAGATGTCCGACTAGCTCTGGAGGTTGTCTCGCAAATCCAAGCGAAACTCAGCAAGGAAAGGGACGAGCTGAGGTAAGGATTGAAGTTTCTCGCCGTATCGTAAGAATATTAGCTTTCGGTTAAATTAGCATCAAGACGAGTGTGAAATTTTTGGAACAATGTCATGCTCATGGCAAGTTTTCAAACTGTTGAAGGCTATTTATTGGCTCCCTATGAGCTGGGAATTTAGGAGAGCTTTGCATACCACTAAGGTTTTGTAAAATTTTTTCCATCTCCCATTGAATTTCAATAGTCTGGAAAGAATGATTGCTAGAACTAAGATTATTTCAAGCCGAGCTGAAGTTAATTGGCAAATTTGAGTAATTTTTGCAATTTGATGGCATTTTTTGCTGTTATTTCATCCTTTCAATCCTAGTTGAGAACTACTCAAGAACTCTAGCATGGTGTGCCTCCAACATGCTGGTTTTCTGACTGTGAACTTTTTTTCAAATGTGTTATAGTCCTTGTAAACCTTAGAACGTATAAAGGAGATCGATATATCGATTTTCCATCTCTAGGAGATGCTAAAGTGCTTGAAAATTGCTTCCACCAATAAAGTTTTCCTTTTTTCGTCTGCATGTTGTGAGAAGAATTCAATGCTGGTTAGATTTTTTGATCATGAAAAAAGGAGCTGTAAAATGACTAGAAGAAAGTACCGCTTTTTGATTTGATGTTCCAAAGTCTTCTTCCTTTGTTTTTTCCTAATTTTTTCGGTAAAGTTTGAGAATTATCTAAGAAATTGAATAACAAACTTTTTTTGATTGATTTTCCACTCAGTAAAGTGTACAGTGGAACCAAAAAAGTCAAGTGACTTGCATATAGTGTGACTCTGATATCTATCTGTTTTTTATCATATGATGGTTTGTTTAGTTACGAACTTTTTACTCCACAATAGAAGTTTGATAAGCTTTTCATTGTTGAGAACTGCTATTACTAAAACTTGCTGTGTTTGATATATAAATGAAAATTGTATCTAGCAAATTTTTTTGAAGTTATATAATCAATACCTCGCGAGTTTTGGAGTAAAGAAAAAAGTAAACACAACTTCTTTACTCTCTCCTTTCACATTCGTCTTTATTTCTTTCCTTTCATTCTTATACCAAAAACTCATAATCAGATAAACCCCCTCTCCCTCCCTCCCCCCTATTTTGCGAAGTTCGGGAAAGGGGCAAATGTGGTTATTTGTGTAAAATTTTGGATTGATTCATACTTGATTTATATATGTATTATTTACTTTCAGAGAACTCTTATCGTCCCCGCTTATGTCTTCCGAATTGTCCGAGTTGTCGTCTGAATTCACCAACATTTCCACCGGCTACGATGACGCTGTGAATCGAATAAATAGTCTTCTCAGCTCCCTGAAAAAACTCGATCAAGTGTGGACTGATTGGAGCGAACAACTCAAAGGCATACGGTAGATATTTGTATTGGATGGATGTACTTGTAACACTTACTGTAATTATTTAGTGAACAAATGAATCGTATCGAAGGCTCATTGAAAGCTGATAAATTCGACCAGCTCACTATCTCGGAAGAGATGGAACTTTGCCAAGAGAGAATGAATAGGTAGATTACCGTATTCGGCATATCGACTAAAATTATCGATTTTTATTGCAGTTTGGAAACAATGTGCAATTACCTGACGAGTTCATTGCAATCCGTGCAAGGCAACGATTCATCCGATTCATTGCCAGATTTTAGATCAGAGATCATTCTGTACGGAAATGCTATGGAGCAATTGAAACAGAAGTGAGTGATTTGAAAGAACATCTAGATGGGACCTGTTAGGTCGAGTGCAGTTGCCCGTGCCAGCACGTGCCAAGGTCATTCCAGTGCTGTGCCAGCGTCGTTTCAGCGCCGTGCTATTGTCATGCCGGAGCTCACGAGCTGCACATGGATTCCGGCACAACCTTAGCGCGGCATAGGAACGGCGCTGGAACGGCGCTGACACTGTATTGGCACAGTGCTGGCATCCGGACGCTGCTCTAGGCTTACTACCACGAAAGAATTATCAATTGGGAATATGCAATGAATTTCTGGACTTTCAGTAAATGTGATTTTTACAGGTTTCACGACATCTACCGTATCCCCACTCCACCTGGGCCTGTACATCCGCCCAACGAGCCGGAGCAAAGCCCCCGTCGCCGAGTCGTCAAGACACAATCGACTCCGACCCAAACCATAATCCCAAGGAAAAACCAAAGCCTTGGTAGTCGCTTCTATCGCGCGGTAGCCGAATCTACAGCCGTAAAATTGGGAGCGCTCCTTTCCATCTTAACCCTAGTAGCCGTCCTATTCTACACTGGTATACTAGGTGCAACATTTGGCCCACATCTCATCTATGTGAATGGGCCTCCACCTACTTAAACCGTGCGCGAGTCGCGTCTAAGCTGTGCGCGAGTCGCGCTGCGGTCCTTTTTTTTTGCATGTTTATCAGGCTTTTCTTAGACTGCAATTCGTTACCTATTACTTCATTATGTGTGTTAGTCGGGTAGTCTCCTTTTCTTTGTTAGTAATAATAGATACTATACATTAGATGTAGTCACAAGTACTATGTACTGGACACATTCACATTTTGACATACAATAAAATCTCCTACAGTGATCAGGTATACTGTAACTGCATTACATTTTACTGCATGTTTCCTTTTATGGCCTGCCAATTTCTATGTATGTTCTCGTTGTTAGTTGGAGAACTTATGCTCACATGCCTTTTCCGTACCATCTAGCTCTTTATGGTTCACTATCAAAACCCTGTTCATGTTTTTCATTCTCTTTTTGTATTCGTTTTTGTATATAATGAACTCACAATCACATGACTCTCATTTGTCTTTTTTTTTCATTCGAATATGATTTATGTTGTTGAATTGTTCTATGTAAATGAAATGAAAATATTAGCTAATTGTGTATGACACATTTTCAGAGCATGTGAATTAGTAAACTTGCTATAAACCTGCAAAACTTGCAGAATTTCTCACAATAATCCCACTGAGGAAAGCAAAGGGGCGGACAGCTGGCAGGAACTATAATGTAATTTAGTGTGCTTAAAATAATTGGACCCCGAGAACAGTGTGGCTGCTATACTTTTCTGGGCTTTGCTACCTTCTTTATTCACCCATCGCTCGAACTTCCACGTTTCTTCGATGTAAATATTAGGTTGGCTAAAAAATATGTTTCGGTGCAGCAAAGTGAAAAAACAAGTTTTTTTTACCAAAATCGAAAACTTGCAACAAAAAAAACTTAAGTTTTATGTAAAATGTAGAATTGCTATTTACACATACGATTTTGACATTTTCAACCGTTTACATGGCCATAGATGGTCAAATCTAAAAGATCTGGACTGCCCAAGATGACATCCTTGCAGATTACACTGTTCACTGTGTTTCGCCTTATAGCCAAAGGTTTTTTGTACCAATCACCTAACTACTTATTTGTGCACTCACCAAGCTCATAACCGGATCTGGAAAGTCAAAATGTTGATTTTTTTAGAAGGCGAAGTATATAAGGACGCTGATGCTTTCATCACTGATAGAAGATTCCAAGACTAACCCCATGGGTTGCTGGCGAGTGGGTCGGGCAACTACATTATTAGCCGTCTAATTATGGCTACAAATATCTCTAGATTTTATATTTTTTTGTGAGCTATGTACCTACAGCTATGTACCAATTTTTTTGTGAGCTGTGTACCTATGAAAACCCACTTCCATGAACGAGTTTTGCAATAGCGAGGAACTTTACGTTCATTCAACATTTCTTGTGAGTCCTATCACAATCGTACAATATTTCGAGGGAAGAATTGACCTTTTCCCGAATTTTACGTCCTCTCATCCACCCTTCTTCACAGAAATTCATTCAAAAATGAAACTCGCCCTCTCCACGCCTTTTACAAGGAGAACTCTTTGAAAAACCCTTCAAGTTTGGATTTCGTCAGTTTCATGAAGGCAAAATACATTTTCCCACGAAACCATAACAAAACTTTTCTTGCGTTGTCGTATCACAAAAATTTTGCGAGTTCTGGGCAACATCAAACTGACTGATGATCTTCTAAGAATCTGAGAATTTTCTTTGAGGCAAGATTTTTTAAACAATCATTAAGTGTCCTTTCAAGCAGTCGAAACTCAACCCTACGATGTACTCCACAAAAACTCAAAATGCTCTAGTTCCTGAAATATTTGGCAACGAAAATGAGCCTTGTACCGCCTACAGACGAGTTCTCATGGAAAAGAAGTGCTCCACAATCCGCCTAAGGAGCGATTTACAAGAAATGCCCTACAGAACGATATTTCAAGAGAAAAAGAAAAGCGCCCTACGAGTCGCTTACAGACCGATATATATCCGAAGAATTTATAAACAGTGTGGGTCGCCCAGTTGATATTCTGCGAACTACACTACAAGCCCCTGTGAAGCAATATTTTGAGAGAAACTTTCCTAAGGCCGCCTGCAGAGTGGTATACTGAGAACGAATGACCCTGAAGCCCCTATAAACAAAATTGCGGGATAATGCCCTACGGGCCCCATAAATCAATATCATAAGAGGATCGTGAGGCTCGTACAGAGATATACAGGGTATCCCAAGTAAGTACACACTTTCATCCTGTCTTTTTCCACCATTTAAACGTTCTGTAAAGGAGGCTTCAACTCAAATTAACAGTATCGAGCGAATTACCGATCACTCTTCATTGCTGTAGGGTTACTGTAGAAACTTCGCAAGGATTTTAAGCCCTTGGAAGCCATATTCTGCCTCGGAACAAAACCAAAACAAGCCAAAAGCCCTTATACTATGGTAATGGAAGCCGCTGATTTTGAATATGAACTTTCCACTTTATTGCGATGCTTCTTTCCAAAGTTATCCCAAGCAAAACGGCATTAGCCGAATTTCCAGTGTATTTGTCAGAAATGTGATTACACCTTCAAAAAAGCAAAAAACACTCGTGAAAAGTTATGTTGTGAAATTGCGCGAAAACCCTAGTACACGATTTTTCAGATTTTTTGATTAAAATTTTGTTAGACGTCACCTTTCACAATGGTTCCACATGCTGAAAGTTCTTACCGTAATCCTACAGTAACGAGAAGCGATAGGTAATCCGATCATTACTGTAAATCTAAGCTGAGGCCTCCTCTACAGAATGGTACTTGGCTGGCAAAAAAGACCTATTGGGAAGAGAGATATTGACCACTGAAAAGTGTGTACTTACTTTTTGGACACCATTTAAGAAAAAAACTGCTCTATGGATCGCCTGCGGACCATTAATGAATTATTAGAAGGAACTGTTCTATGTTTCGGATACTTGTCAGAAAGGAACTGCCCTACGAGCTCCCCACACCAATTTTAAAAAAATGCTCTATGGTCCGCTTACGCACGTCACTTCGAAAAAGGACTGCTCAACCGATTTTTCAGAAAAAAACTGTTTAAATCTTCAAACCTGTATTCTTGTTAAATAGTAGAGGTTTGAGACTACCTGCTTACAAAAAAAAAACAGTCAAGTGACAGCTATTTGTTCATAAAGCTTCGAAGTTGCATGTCAAAACGAAATTATTTATTAGCCGACCGGAGAAATGCAAGTTTTTCTAACTCCAAAATAAAAATCTTACACAAATTCCCTTCTCTGAGGACAGAATACTGCCACCTTTCCATCCTCCATAATTTTCTTTCCCGGAATGCAGCCAAACTGGGTTGTACACGAAACAACTTTTCTGCAAAACACAAGTGACAGCATGACAGTTTTGAATTTAACTTGTCAGCGTTGATCTGGATACGCGCGCTCACCATGATAACAACATGCAAGAACATGTTAGTCTCAGCGCTAATAAGCAGCACATGAAGACACGACTCATAGGTCGAGGGGGATATGGGAGTTGTATTTAGCTATCGCCAACCCGCTGCTTGGCTCAAATAATCCAGACTCTTCACCATTCGTTGCGGTTTCGTGTGGCCGTCATCCATGAACATCTTGGCACGGGTCTGCTGGTTGGCCATGAATTAGGTTCCAACTGCTGACGCAGCTATTCAGGCGGGCAACAAATACATTACACTATCTCTTCGGTGGTCTGCCTTATGGACGTTTTGAAGCTCTTGGAATCCATTTTGACGTTCTTTTTGTCCATCTATCGTCTTCTTTTCTCATTATATGTCTGGATCTATATTTGTTTTTCGATACGTACTCTGCTGGGTCTTGTAGACGCGAAAGTCGGCTTATGTCGGAGCTGCGAATACCAATTCGGTATGTTTGAACTTCTCGAGTACCTTGTGCGTTGTTCATAGCGGCTTTGTGGTTGCTGAGGTGTCTGCCCAGCACAGGTGCGATAAGGTGAGAATGACTCCTCCAGGGTGAAGGGGGTCACAGTGGTCGCAACCCCCCCCCCCCCCCCCCGGGTGAAGGGTGTTTCACTTGGTAGAGAAATTATAAAATGTCGACGGGGGGAAAACATGGTGTTTTCTCATCATTTTTCCTATTCAAAGTTCATAATTTATTCCTTACCATCACTGGTTCTTTTTTTCTGAATTGTGAACCGATGTGCTGCTGGATTAGCACGCAATTATATTTCTGACCAGCACCTTGCATTTTTTAAACATTTCCTTTTCCTTTTTTACATCACCCTGCCTGTTTTTGGAATTACCATAGTTGATGGGCATGCGAACATTTGTTTCGGAAAGAGTTAGACAATTTTTAAATTTTTTAAAAGAATTTAATTTAAAAATTAAAAGACAATTTTTTTTCAAAGAAGAAATTCGTAATTTCTGTAGATGAACAGCAACGTCAGCAAGGTGAATATTTTTGAAACCATCTTGTCTTCCGCCTTTAGAGAATATATGGTTTGCCTGGAGTCTGTTCAAAGTGCCTGGTGAAGAGTGTGGGTAGTGATTTCTGGATATTTTCGAGTTTTTAGGATAGAAAAATCCGTAACTTCTAAAGATGAACATAATTTACGACGGTATGGCTACCTTTGAAACCGCCGCGTTTTTTGCTTTCAGAAAATGTATACATTGCTTGGTGTCCGTCAAAAAGGTGCCTGGGTGAAGGGTGTCCTAGTGATTTCTGAAGATTTTCGAGTTTTTAGCATAAAAAAATTCATAACTTTCTTAAATGAACATCTTTCACATCGAAAGGGTCACCATTAGAATCGCCTCGTTCTCCGCTCTCAGAAATTATACAGCATGTTTGAAATCCGTCAAAAAAGTGCCTGGTGCAGGATGTGCCTAGCGATTTCTGGGAATTTTCGAGTTTTCATAAAAAATGATTACTGCAGATGAACAGCTGGTGCAAGGAAATAGTAGCCATCGGAACCGCCTCGTCCTCCGCTTTCAAAAAATATATAGCATGTCTGAGATCCTTTCAAAAAAGTGCCTGGGTGAAGGGTGTGCTTGGTGATTTTTGAAGATACTCGATTTCTTATGATAAAAAAATTCATAACTTTTTTAGATGAACATCTTGTATACCGGGATGGTCACCGCTGGAACCGTCTCGTCCTCCGCTTTCAGAAAATATATGCTTTGCCTGGGGTCCGTTAAAAAAAGTGCCGGGTGAAGGGTGGGTGAGACTTTTATAATGGGAATGCTCAAGTACAGGCTTTTTTTACCATTGTAAAAAGACGTCTACTTGAGCACTCCCATTATAAAAGTCTCACCCACCCTTCACCCGGCACTTTTTTTAGCGGACCCCGGGCAAAGTATATATTTTCTGAAAGCGGAGGACAAGACGATTCCAAATCTTCAAAAGTCACTAAGCACACCCTTCACCCAGGCACTTTTTTGAATGGATCTCAGACGTGCCATATATTTTTTGAAAGCGGAGGACGAGGCGGTTCCGACGCTACTATTTCCTTGCACCAGCTGTTCATCTGCAGTAGTCACGAATTTTTTTATCCTGA